GTCGTTCATCAAGTTTGTCAATAAGCCTTCTCTTACATTTAATGGGCTTCTCAGTTTTTTCCTCCAAATGAACATGTCCGATAAGGAATGCAATTAATAGCACTTTCAGATACATGATTCAATTAAGATTTGTACTAATCAGATGCAAAGAATACTCAGTAAAACTCAATTTGCTTGAGACCAAAAAACATATTTTCTATTTCAATATACATCATTAATTTAATATCACTGCTTCAAGCTGATATTTTCGATTTCACTACATGATTTAAAGACATGCTTTACCTTTTGGAACTTCCTCGGGATTGAAGATAATGAAAATCGTTGTTATATCATAAATGCGCTTACACTTCTTTCCTTCTTTTTCACAGTTATCTAATTTCTCAAATTAAGATTTCCATTGAGAAAATACAAACACATACTCCCATTTAGGTTAAATGACAAAAGATTGGTGACATACTCCTATAGCCGGTGGGAGTCAGCGTCAGCGTCGGTACCGTGTGGAGATTGACTGTGTAGGGAAATATATTGTATGTACATGTATTATTTATATTATTCATGTTTATATTTTTACGTTTAAAAGTGTGATTTTACGTTGTGACACAGTAATTGACCAATGGTGCTAGACTCTAACTTATAATCTTCTTTTGATACAAAACAAAGAACTAATCCATGGGCCATTCTTATTTATATATTAAAGGCGTCTACCTTGCAAGTTACAAAAAGGAAGAGCATGGCTTTAACAGTAAGTTATGAAATTAATCGATCTTGTTTTATAATATGAAGTAATTTATCAATAAAATTGTTGACGTTTTTGATAACGTAAAGATGTAAATGTATTGATCTATTTGCAATACATCTTTATAAAGATATCTTTCTATTTTTCATCATTTTTATTTTAAATAAATAAACTAAGTAATAAATCGCTGAAGTCCGAAGTCCGGAGTCCGGACTCAACATTTATGTTGAAGAAAGCACAAAAGTCCCATTATTTAGGCCTACTAATCAGTGTTTTGAGCCACATTTCATAGATGAAAGTAGCAGTGGACACATCCACATCTCTGGAGCAGTGTGGACACATCTACATATATGTGGCAGTGTGGACACATCTACATCTCTGTAGCAATGTGGACACATCTACATCTCTGGAGTAATGTGGACACATCTACATATATATGGCAGTGTGGACACATCTACATCTCTATAGCAGTCTGGACACATCTACATATATATGGCAGTGTGGACACATCTACATCTCTGTAGCAGTGTGGTTGTGGACACATCTACATCTCTGTAGCAATGTGGACACATCTACATATATGTGGCAGTGTCAGACAAAAATATTACAGCAATGTCTCTGGTTACTAATTAAATAAACCTTAGTTGAATTCTGAGCTGAGCATTCTCATTCTGATACTCAGACCATCTCTGCTATGCACAACTAGAAGGATACTGAGAGAAGGCTGTAATATCTCACGATAGAGCATTCTCAGAACTTATCATTTTGAGCATGTCCACAATTTACATACACATGCAGAGAAGGTGCGGTTGTACTTCAAATAATTTGCCAATCATTGGACTTACTCACTAATTATTGGGTTACAAATGACTCCTACTGCTTGGGTGATCATTTTTACCATACTAGTGACCTCTCATGCAAGTCGATTTAGAAATGGACGACAAAAGAACAAAAAAGGAACAATACGGTCAAGGTCAACAAGTTTATTTAATAATTGTACCGTTCCTGTTTCTATGCCTTTGTAACATATCGGGTTAGTAAGAAATCCATCTTTACTAACTTTTTTGTCAGGTTAGTAAAGATGGAGCAATTTCCCCCTGCTTTGTAACAGGTAGTATCAAACCCCCTCGATATAACATTTAACTTACCATTTGGAATTGTATACGATTTGTCTGTGACCTGCCACCCCAAGCCATTAACAACTGCGTATATCCAGTAATAAACTGTATCTCCTGGTTGAACATCCACCAGTCGATTTTCGTGTACCCAAAGTCCGCCTGCAATTACATGTTTTACAGCATACGTCATGCAAATATAATTTGACAAAGGTAAATATTTAGGATATTAGGAAGTTTAAGCTTGCATATAAATCGAAACGCCAACCTGTACGTTTGACCAATCGCCCATACAAATGCATCGCTTAAACAACTTTCGTACATGTTTAGGTTGTGAAAATAGTAAATACGTAAACACGTATATATAGTTTGAATTTTAAGATGTTATATTTCTGACATTTAATTATCGCTATCGAAATGGTGTCGAATTTCTGGTTTTATTTTGGGGGTGAACAATGCCTCAATCAATTTGTAAAGCCCTCTTCTTAAAAATATGCCTCGTTTTTAAAATGAGCCCCATGCTTTTTATTTTGAGCCTGATTTGTACAAATATGCCTTACTTGCAAGAAAATCATATAACACTTCTGAAATCTTTTTTTACAAATCAACAATGTTATTCTACAGAAAGAAGGAAGAAAGATTCTACATAATTATAGAGGAAAAACTCATTTTTAACTTCCCGATGAGATTAATATTAATTTTCGCGAATACCTGTTTTACTCCTGACATCGTAGTTCCAATCCCCTGGATCTACTCCTGCCAGGCGAGTATTGATGCTGTAGTGGAATGCAACAAGGGTCGTTGTCCCTGGCCCTGGGTCTAATAAGAAAATAATTAAATGCTAGTAATCGGGGTACATTAATGTACTCTTTGTGCGATACTAAAAGATCACACCGGAACACCCGGACAGCGGTAAAGTCAGATACCGTTGTCACAAATGACGGCCATAGGTTCGCATTCGATTTCTATAAACTGCACGTTTAATAGAGCACCTAAATTAAATTCCTTTTGTACAACACTCAATTAAAGTGTCTTTCTGTTCATCGTATAGTTGAATATGTTCTATCATCGAAATAAAGGCTTCAATTTTACCGATCAAAATATGACACAGGACAACTGATGCTATATAAATGACAACGGTAAATGTGGGTCAAATGTGCTGTAAAATTGGGATGACAACGGTATTTATAAAGACAACGGTAAAGTGTATAGTTCATGTCGTCATTTTCTTATGTTCCAATATAATGCATCCGTTGTCCGTTGTCATATCTTACCATGGCCCGTTGTCTCTGTTGATTATTTCAAATTCAGATTTCCGTTGTCGTTGATGATATGGAAGACGGTGTGTTGTGGTGATTCACGACCACATTTGATCGAAATTGGGATTTCATACATTACACTTTCACCAAAGCTTACATGCACAGAATTAGCGACGACAACAATGAAATGTGAAACAAGTTGAAGCGACGGTTACGTCCGCCATTTTGTGACAACGGTATCTGACTTTACAGTTGTCAGGGTGTTCCGGTGTAAAGATGCACTCTACCATTTTTAGAATACAGTAATTTATAATATATACCTGGAAATAACATGAGACTCCAAAAAGGAAGCTATTACATTTCTGGATATACGAAGCTACCCAAGGAGGAATGGCTCCCAGAAGTCGAAACTCGATATTTTCCAACAATGAAAACGTCGAAATGTCGTTTAGAAATAAGACCAAAATTCACATGTTGAGGCTAACAAAATGGCGACTGTTTGATTTAGAATTTTGTAATCACGACATGCCCATATATGACAAAAATATCGATGTTGCACTCTGGGAGCCAATCCTCCTTGAAGCTACCTGAAAACCTGAAGATGTCATTTTAGAACATTTTCTCAAAACTAAGGTAATTATGTACCGGCAAGTTTGGAAATTTAAAGGCTTGGTGGCAAATAATTTTTTAAATAGTCGTATTCGTTGTTCCTTCTTCAAAAGAGGAGACACGCACGATTTTCCTTACAAGGTCAAAATATTTCCCAGGGTGCAGTTCGCGGAGGAACAAATTCATACTTCCTTGTTTTCCCCCATAGGTTTAACATGGGGATTTTCACACCTATTTTTCAATCAATATATTCGTTCATATTCCAGTACGGGAGTACAGAAAAATATCATGCAAAAACTCAAAAGATGCAGTGGTCTGCTTTTGAAAAAACATATTTTCACTGAAACTGAAACTGCAAGGGTCAAGTTGGCAAAGGTATCAATTTCTATCTGGAGAGTCAAGTTGTCACCCTGACAAGTGTTTAAGGCCAGGGTGCATGTTGGGAAATTTTCTTCATTCCTCAATTGAGTCACAAGTTTTTTTCAAACAATTATTACTCCTTCCCCACATTGTTTACATCTTCCAGGTTTGCACAAAGAGTGCACTTATGTACCTAGAGAAGACTTGTGAGAAGATTTGTTTTGTAAAATGTATAAAAAATGAGGAAATTCAGTGAAAAAAAATTCTGAACATTTTCTGATTTTTTTCACTGAATTTTCTTGTTTTTTATACAATTTATCAAAACATTCTTCTCACAAGTCTTTTCTAGGGACATAAGTGCACTATTTGTGCAAAAATGGAAGATATAGACAATGTGGGGAAAAGTGATTCTTGTTTAAAAATAACACGTGACTCAATTGAGCGATGCAGAAAATTTCCCATCATGCACCCTTACCTTAAAAAGTGACATTGAATGCAGTGATTGGTGATATAATGCCCTGCAGTGATTGGTTATAATGCACTGCAGTTATATGAGATACTGTGTTCGGACTGGCTGAAATTGACACATCTTGCCCAGCTATGTGCGATTCAAAACCAATGCAGTGCATATATGTTTTGTTTTATTAAGGTCAGGGTGCATGATGGGAAATTTTCTGCATTCCTCAATTGCGTCACTTGTTATTTTTCAAACAAGAATCACTCCTTCCCCACATTGTCTACATCTTCCAGTTTTGCACAAAGAGTGCACTTATGTGCCTAGAAAAGACTTGTGAGAAGAATGTTTTGATAAAGTGTATAAAAAACAAGAAAATTCAGTGAAAAAAATCAGAAAATTTTCAGAATTTTTTTTCACTGAATTTTCTCATTTTTTCTACATTTTACAAAACAAACCTTCTCACAAGGCTTTTCTAGGCACATAAGTGCACTCTTTGTGCAAACTTGGAAGATGTAGACAATGTGGGGAAGGAGTTATTCTTGTTTGAAAAATAACATGTGACTCAATTGAGGAATGCAGAAAATTTCCCAACATGCACCCTGTCCTTAATTTGGTATAATTTAGAATCCCAGCAAGAGACCGGGCCTCGTGACAATGCTTTCGTTCCAATGCTTATATATATGTTATTGCCATACATACCTTTGACGGCCATACGGATTCCTTTAGGTTGTAATAGTGTTATCTCCGGGAGCTCGATTGATACATTGCACAGGCCAAATCTAGCACAAACAAGTAAAAGCACGATGAATTTTAAAGACAACATGGCTGTCTATATATCGTGTGCCTACTGTTGCTCTTCGATTGTGTAGCTACTTATTGCGTCGTGTATAACTTATGAAAGTGATGAAGTTATATTTCTAATATCAAGACAACCATCCCCGTATTTATCAACGTTATCAACTGAGATAGTGCGCTGATATCACAATTCAATGTATTGTCTATGTTCGGTGGAACGTACCAATTTAGAATTTCAATAATTTCTATTGGCTAAACGGTTCTTTCAACACTTGGGTTGATTTCCTGAAATAAGTGAGTGAGAGGAAAAGAAAGTTGTATTCCTGCTTGATGTATGATTTTGAAAAAGCATTTTGACTTTTCATCTCACCCAAGGGTGCTATATTCCGATCAGTTTGCTGGCCGGGCGGATGACTCTTGTTTACTCGTTTCCAGGCAACCATTTGAGGAATTTAAATTTAAGCCAAATTTCCAGGAATGTTTTTTTGTATTAAAATCTAAAGTGCTCACCATAAATAAATGATACATGGATTTTCTATCACCATTTCCAGACCATGGTGATTTGAGACTTCATACTTTCCAATAATGTCTAGATACACATCCCTTAAGTTTTGTATATTTTACATTTTGTATATACTCTCATTCACTGATGTACAGCCTCTTGAAAATTCTCTTCTTTTCAACATGGGAAATCCTCACTTCAGCAAATCCAGGTATCATTTATTTATGGTGAGCACTGTAAAACTGAATTGATTTTGGGCATTCTTGGTAAATTTTATGGCAGCCGTTTTGGATTTAACGTCCTAGGGTTTTGTCTGTAAAGTCTCGTAAGGATTGAACGGATGTTTGGCATGAATGTTTAGAACTGATTGGTTTTTGGACATGCTGGGTAAATTCTTATTTGGCCGTTTTGTCTTTTCTGTCCTAAGAATGTGTCTTTAAAATGTCTATACGTATTCCATGTAAACTTTCGACTGAAAACTGAAAATGATTGCATGAATCCGTTCATCATCATTGCCAAACTTAGGTTTGTTTATCATTCTTGGTATTTCATTCAATGGTGCGATATCGTTCACCCTGTGTCTTCTTTACTCTGCCGTGAGTAGTAGTTTATTTTCTATACATTACACAACAGTGTCAAAATTCAAGGCGAGACCCAGGGCAGCATTGAACAGCTCGGAACAGATAGACAATAGGGGTTATGGTTTTGGGAGATAATTTATAGAAAACTTGTTAATGCATTTTCTATGTGGTGATTCTCTGTAGGTTAATATCCTCCTTTTTGTAAATAAACGTTTTCTCATGTTCATGACGGTAATCACGTTTTAACAAGACTTAAGGCGACGCTATATTAAATAAAAAGTACAAAAAATGACTGCCATATTTTTTTGATAAAGACACATGTTTTTAAAATCTGTTTACCTTGTATATGAATTGTGTATCTTGACTAATGAAACATGTCAAAGTTAACATCACACATAAACGCATTTTTCCAAACTATGAATTGGAGGTGCATGGATCCCCAAAGCTAGCATGAAGAGTGCGAAGTGAGGCTAATTTTTGAAAGTTTCAAGGAGTAGCCTTGCAACAGTCACACATTTGCAAGAGTCTAAAATTTCCACAAATCATCTTACCTTACCAAGGAACAACGAAGGAGCACGAAAATGTGTACTTCTTGCATTGTTAGAGTATAATAAAGCTCAAACCATTGTGAATTCTAAATATTTCATGTCCACCATTTTGTTTCCTGGAACTATTTTTTAGTCCAGAGTTATCTTCATTCATGTTTCCATTGTTTATCATTCATAAAGCCTCTATCATGTATCTATCATGATAATTACACTGTAATAGATAAAACATACAAGTGATAATCCATGCCACTTGGTGTAGTCACAAAACTTGCATGAGGATTAATCAGGAAGTCTAGAAGTAGTTCCGGCAAACAAAATGTGGACATGAAATATTTGGAATTTACAATGGTTTGAGGTTTATTATACTCTAACAATGCAAGAAATGCACATTTTCATGCTCCTTCGTTGTTCCTGGGAAAGGTAAGATGATTTGTGGAAATTTTAGACTCTTGCAAATGTGTGACTGTTGCAAGGCTACTCCTTGAAACTTTCAAAAATTAGCCTCACTTCGCACTCTTCATGCTAGCTTTGGGGATCCATGCACCTCCAATTCATAGTTTGGAAAAATGCGTTTATGTGTGATGTTAACTTTGACATGTTTCATTAGTCAAGATACACAATTCATATACAAGGTAAACAGATTTTAAAAACATGTGTCTTTATCAAAAAAATATGGCAGTCATTTTTTGTACTTATTATTTAATATAGCGTCGCCTTAAAGGCAGAATCAGATCTATAGGGGGTGACAAAATTACAAGCAATGTGCATAATTGACCTACCAATCTATTGCTTACAATATCAAATACAATATCTCCCAAAAGATTAACAATATGTTATAAATTGGTGAAGTTATTAATGATTCAAAGTGCAAAAATGGATGAAAATGTTTAAATTCTCCCAAATAATAAGAATGGTAACCATTCTTATAGAAAACTAATACATTATTGTAAAAATCTTTCGTTTTCCTTGAATAAAGTATGCACTTTTGTGATTTTTAGAAAATAGACATGACAAGGAATGACATGAGCCAAAAATATTTAAAATTGAAACAATTTTTCGTTTAGCCTGCTCGCTATCTCTGATTCTCTCTTTAAGTAGCTAACTTTTATGATACAGAGCTATATAATTTATGTTGAGCTTTTATGAGGTGTTTGGAGCGGGGTATACCAAAGCTTGCTGTAACACCCGAGCCGCCCTCATTTATCATGTTTATGTTATTTATTTACGATGGGATACGGGAAAAACGGTTTTCTCATATTGTACAAGGATATCAGCATTGGTGCAACGTCCTCATAATCTCTCGCTTTGGCGGTTGGTGGGAGACAATCGTTTATGAAACTCCCTGTAGATTTGAGTTTTTCAATAAACTTTTTATGCTGGTTTTGAAGTTGTCATTGAATTAATAACAAAGTTAAATATTAATAAAAGTATCGATGTGTATAACTACATTGTATATTATTGTAAAGCTGTATTTAAAACGTTGTCCTTGTGTCTTGATAACAGTAGATCACCCCGGAATAGCCTGACAACGGTTAAGTCAGATACCGTTATCACAAATGGCGGACATAACCGTCGCTTCAATTAGATTTTCATGAACTGTATGTTTAATAGAGCACCTAGACTAAATTCCTTTGGAACAACAATCAATCAAAGTGTCTTAATACTTATTGTACAGTTAATAATGTCCTACCATCGAAATAAAGTCTTTAATTTAACCGATCAAAATGAGATACGGGACAACGGATACTGTAATTACCATATGCCGTTGTCTTTCTAAATTACTCAAATTCAGATTCCGTTGTCATTGACGATATCGAAGACGCTATATCGTGGCGATTCACGACCCAATTTGATCGAAATTGGGATTTCATATGAAACATCATCACAAGAGCTTAATACATGCACAGAATTAGCGACGATAAAATCCCATGAAATGAGGACCCAGTGATTAAACAGTTGAAGCGACCTTTTTTATGTCCGCCATTTGTGACAACGCTATCTGACTTTACCGTTGTCAGGCTATTCCGGTGTGGGATGTAGCGAGTAACATTTCGTCCTTGCATGTACAAAAAAGTGTTAACAATTTGAAGCAGATTGAGTTGGTGCAGTGAAGTCGCAACTGGAAGGTAAAGAACAGAAGTAACAACAAAATGTTCGGCACCATCGTACTATTGGTTGTATCTACTTGGTTAGCACAATGGCTTTATAAACGACTGACCAAGAAGAGTGCCAGTTGTCCAAGCGTGCCTGGTTTGCCACTTTTGGGAAATGCCTTGAATTTTGATATTACACGGCCAATGGCAATTCTGGAGAAATGGAACAAAGAACATGGAGACGTCTATAAGATCAACCTTATGGGTGAAGAGGTGGTAGTTGTCAACGGTGACGTATGTTATGAGGTTTTGGTGAATAGAAGTGATGAGTTTGCAGGACGTCCTCATACACCAAGATTTGATTGGATATTCCATGGAGATTTAGTGTTTAGAGATCCAGATGAGAACTTTAAAGCCTGGAGAAAGTTTCTTCATCATGGTATACTGCCTCTTTATTTAAGGAATGAAGACGGAAATTTTATTATTTAAGGCGTGATATATGACCGAAAATTTTATTCTGTTCATTGTTAAAATGATTATTGTTTTTGAATACGTTCTCTTATTACAATTTTAGATTTAATAGCTATGCCTCCCGAATAGTTGGATGATACAGTTTTTCAACTACGTTTTGTAAATGATCCTCTTACCGAGACCACCAGCAGAGACACGTGCACTATAAAACGATCCATAGTTCATTGTGTCATGTGTTTCAATTCTTTTCAGGCATAGAAAACATTTTGGGAGGATTTTCACAAGGTCCACATTTTAACCTGTTTACTGCATATTAAGTACCTACTTGACTTAACATTACCATAATGCTTATACTTTCTATCATTCTATACACAATGTCAATGTCATAAAACAAAAAAATAGAATAGCCTAATAATATTGGCCAGAGTAAAATTTAATATTTGATTACTCAAATTCCAGTGGACGGATTTGGTTCAAATTGTACATGTTGATGCCAGTAGGGATTTTTTAAGCTGGCAGCTGACTTGCAAAATGGCCGCCATTTTTCGTCAAAATGAAATATTTGTTAACTCAAGTTATCAGTGAACGGATTTGATTCAAATTTTATTTGCTAGTCCGTGTAGTTGCTGTTTTAAGTTGTTTTTTGTGCACTTTTAGGAGAGCATCGCAATAAATTGTCCTTGCAAGTCTAAGTAGGTGATACATTACACACGCACACAAAGGAGGACTGGTATATGCCAAATTCGGGACAATGAATACTGACAGCTTACGAAAGACCTTCCCGATTGAGGAAAAAACAAAATATTGAAAAATATATTTCAATGTTCACATTCGAGTCTGATGATTAGTATAAGTTTACATCTAGTACACTCGATCCCCTCCATAAGTTTGGCAACCTTAGTTCTCCCATTGAACTACGTGTTAAAGCCTCTTTACTTTGAATTTTTATTTACATAACCTGCAATGAAAAATATTGATGGAAACGTAACTTGACTTTATTTCCAATACCTCCACATTTTCTCAATTTTTTTCCTCAATTACAATAGGTCGAAATTTGATAAATCTTTGAAAATCGACATTCCCATGGTAACCAATTGGAAATGGCAGGTTTGCTGCAAATCATATGACAATCAATCCATCCGAGTCTTTGCAAAAATACAAGTTAGGTAGGAAATTGAATTTGCTAACTTTATTTAACAAAAAATTGATACGTTTCTTCAGGTTCAATAAAGTTATAGGGCTTTAAAGTCAAAATTGTTTTTCAAAAAACCTCTCCCATTGAAATAACACACGAGGTGAAAATGACTTTGAAGCTCTGTAACTTTAGTATTCATCAAGTAAACTAAACACTTGCTGTACGAAAAGGTTAGACAATTTTCTACATAAAAATATTTTTTGCTGAATCTTTTACTGAATAGATATCCTGATTTTTGATTTGCCCCGAGCCCATCATTTTCCATTGGTTTACATAGGAATGACGATTTTCAAAAATTTATCATAAATTTTCGACCTTTTGTAATTCAGGAAAAATTGGGAAAAGGAGGTATTGGAAATAAAGTCAAGTTACGTTTCCATCAATATTATAAGTCATTTCATCGCAGGTTAAGTAAATAAAAAACCAAACGTAAAGAGGCTTTAACACGTACATGTAGTTCAATGGGGGAGCTAAGGTTGCCAAACTTATGGAGGGGAGGTCTTTCGTAAGCTGTCAGTATTCATTGTCCCGAATTTGAGGTATATCTGCATGGTATGGTCAATGTTTCTATGTGCTTTTATGTAGGTTTAAGGCAGTATGGATCTGGTATGAAGCGAATAGAATCTGTTGTACAAGAAGAGATTAAAGAATGTCTTGCAACAGTAGAGGACCAACAGGGAGAACCCTTTGATCCACAGAACATTATACATGGAACTGTTTTGAACATCATTCTTATATTTGTAAGTATGGATTAGAGTGGTACAGATCTGATGGTTAGTTAAAGTACATGACAGATCGCTTTGAATTGAGAATTTTGCTTGTTTACTTGTTTGATTAAAAATGGTCGAGTCCATTTTCCCAAAATATTCTCATCTGTGTCTCCATGTCCATTGTTATGCAGTGTAAAGAAAACATTTTCTGACAGATAATGGGTAAGCGTTTACCGAAAGACGATCCGTTCATTGATACGATGAAGAAAGCAGAAAGGGCGCTTTCAGAGTCCTGTGGGCCTGGTGCTGGGGTGGAACTGGATATGATGCCATGGCTACGTTACTTCAATATACCAAGTTATAAGAAACTGATCGGGTTTAACAATCTACGGGATGAAGTGATCAACCATTGGATAAAGATGAAGAGGGTGAGTATATGATAAGATCATGTTGGCTGTAAGAGGTACAGGCCTAAAACTGCATGAGACGGATACGGTCTATGTAAATACTATGTCAGTTGATTAAACGATATGGGAATTCCCATTCAGGTATATCAGATACTCACTTTATCTAACGCTTTGGTGAGACTTGATATGGATCCCACATTAGAGAATTCCCGGAGGAATTCCCATTCTGATATATCAGATACTCACTTTATCTAACGCTTTGGTGAGACTTGCTGTGTATCCCACAATGGAGAATTCCCCGGAGGAACTCCGATTCTGATACTCATCACATCTTTCTGCCTCCAACTAGAGCAATGCTCTGTTTAGCTTCGAGAAGGCCATGGAAGTCTTTTGTAAAGTTTGACTACTGGTCTTGATTATCAATTTATTACAGGAAGAAACTGATCCAGACAACGTCTCATGTATGATGGACTGGCTACTGATCTGTCAAGAAGAACATGTTGGGAAAGTAGGTGCCTTGTCAGAAGTCAACCTAAAAATGATCACCCAGAACATATGGTTTGGAGGTAAAGCATCATTTTTTATTATTTTATATTTAGAAATTTAGGAATAAAGACCGAGATTTTATGATTTGTGGTGCAATATATAAGCGAAAGAAATCGCGTAGTTGAAGATGACCTAACTTCTCGTTTGACTCATTTTTGCCAGGATCGTTGACAACATTTAACTCCTGCTATTTCGGTCTGTTGATCCTGATCAATCACCCCGAGATTCAAAGCAAGATATACGAGCAGATAATCAAAGCAGTTGGGAAAGAGAGGTGAGCAGGTGCCAAATATAATTGGAAATAAATTCAAAATGGATAATAAATATATATGTTACTTAGGTAGAAGAAAAAACGTTGGTAACGCACATTATCATGCAAAGGGTGAGAGAGCTGCAGGGCTGTCAACTTGGGACCACCTAATATGAGTGACTTCAAAATGTTGGACACCTAAGTCAAAATCTGAACACTTTTGTCCAAATTTTGAACACCTTTGGCCAACTTTTAAACACCTTTGGCCAAAGTTTGAGCACCTTTGCCAAACTTTGAACACCTCAAATTTTTCTTCGCGTGACAAATCCGAACAAATTGCGTTCGGTTTTTTCCGACGTTCGTATTTTTACCGTATCGTCAACATATTTTGAAAAATTTTCTACAGAAATATTTTTGCGTGACAATTACCAGGTAAAATGCGTATTTGCGTGACATTTTCTGTCACGCAAAAAAAAATGGCGTGACTTCAAATTCTTCAGCAAATGCGTGACAAATACCCAAATTGCGGGACAGTTGACAGGCCTGAAGTCCATTTGGATATTGAACACTTTATCCGGCCATGAACTTATCCTTTATCATACTCATGGTAATTTCTAATTTCATGGTTCATATATATCACTAGGCTGCCCTGCCTTGATGATCGTGCCAATCTCCCGTATGTTGATGCCTTTCTTCTTGAGCTGATGCGATATGTGACCATTTTACCATTTGCCGTCCCACATAAGGCCATGAGCGATACAACTCTGAGGGGGTATAGTATACCAGCAGGTACACAGGTAGGTGTTAAATTCTGAGAGGGTGTGAAACATAATATAATGCAGCGTTCAGGGGGTTAAAGTAAAACGAAATCGTGGACGTCTTTTTAGTGTACCTGTAAGTCACTTGAAGATGTGAATTAATTTTTGATCGTGCCATGGAAATATTTTGCAGATTTGGGTGAACCTGTTTGGATTGCATCACGATGAGAGGTTCTTCCCCGATCCGTGGACGTTCAACCCTGACAGGTTCATAGATAAGGATGGTCAAGTTATATCTCCCTTTGAGCGCAAAATGTACGTAGGCCTTCACCGGGGTCTTCTTCTGCTCAATTTTAATGGATTAGTAAAAACGTCTAAAGATTACTCTTTGCATTTGTTTGACTTCACTTCTTAAAAGAGAGCTTCGTCTTCTAGTTTAACTAGACTCTGCACGCAGGGTATCTAAAGATGATATTGAGCCCTCGTGTCCTGACATTCGAATATAACGCCCCATTTAGAGTGATCGAGGGAAATCGAACATACTAAGATTTTAATTAAAAATAGCCCAGCAAGTTATCCTAAATGCTCATCTTATATATCTAAAAAGCTTTTCATTTTAATCTGCTTCAGGTTAATGCCATTCAGTGCTGGTAGACGTGTGTGCTTCGGTGAGCAACTAGCGCGGGCAAGACTCTTCCTCCTATTCACCTCATGGGTGCAGAGATTCACCTTCTTACCAGAGGATGACACCAGTGGCCCCCCTAGTTACCATCCTAGCAACTACATACTCGGAATCGCGCTCAGAGCCGAGGACTACAAACTCAGAGCTGTCCCAAGAAAGTGAATCATAAAGGAGATATTACTGATTAAGGCGACGCTATATTAAATAATAAGTCCAAAAAATGACTGCCATATTTTTTTGATAAAGACACATGTTTTTAAAATCTGTTTACCTTGTATATGAATTGTGTATCTTGACTAATGAAACATGTCAAAGTTAACATCACACATAAACGCATTTTTCCAAACTATGAATTGGAGGTGCATGGATCCCCAAAGCTAGCATGAAGAGTGCGAAGTGAGGCTAATTTTTGAAAGTTTCAAGGAGTAGCCTTGCAACAGTCACACATTTGCAAGAGTCTAAAATTTCCACAAATCATCTTACCTTTCCCAGGAACAATGAAGGAGCATGAAAATGTGCACTTCTTGCATTGTTAGAGTATAATAAACCTCAAACCATTGTAAATTCCAAATATTTCATGTCCACATTTTGTTTGCCGGAACTACTTCTAGACTTCCTGATTAATCCTCATGCAAGTTTTGTGACTACACCAAGTGGCATGGATTATCACTTGTATGTTTTATCTATTACAGTGTAATTATCATGATAGATACATGATAGAGGCTTTATGAATGATAAACAATGGAAACATGAATGAAGATAACTCTGGACTAAAAAATAGTTCCAGGAAACAAAATGGTGGACATGAAATATTTAGAATTCACAATGGTTTGAGATTTATTATACTCTAACAATGCAAGAAGTACACATTTTCGTGCTCCTTCGTTGTTCCTTGGTAAGGTAAGATGATTTGTGGAAATTTTAGACTCTTGCAAATGTGTGACTGTTGCAAGGCTACTCCTTGAAACTTTCAAAAATTAGCCTCACTTCGCACTCTTCATGCTAGCTTTGGGGATCCATGCACCTCCAATTCATAGTTTGGAAAAATGCGTTTATGTGTGATGTTAACTTTGACATGTTTCATTAGTCAAGATACACAATTCATATACAAGGTAAACAGATTTTAAAAACATGTGTCTTTATCAAAAAAATATGGCAGTCATTTTTTGTACTTTTTATTTAATATAGCGTCGCCTTAATGGACATGGCATTTCACATTGAAGATCTGCAAGTGGCGTGCCCATGAATGAGGTATTAGAGACAATGGCCTCACCAGCATTTTACAGAAAAATATATGCTGACTATTTTGGTGAAACGATATCCAACTAGAACGCTAGCATCATATTAATCCTCTTATCTTTACTTCGTCTCGTGTGCCTCGCCTATCCACAAAGGTTTGGTATCGATATGTTGAACTCCATTCAATATTTTTCGCTTGAACCTATTATTTAAAACATTCTGTAAAAACCCGATCCATTTTGTAATGGTCACTGATTGACAGTTGAACAGTTTAATGTGAATACTATTTATATCTATTTTATATTATAATTGTTTTTGTGAACAATTTTTGTTTTTTAGTGCAGTTGGTTCTTTGTTCTTTCCTACCAACTTCTATCCGAACCTTGTTGGAACAAAATGCATGTACAATATTTTCTTAGACCTCTCAATATCCTAGTTATACAAAGGAAAGTTTTATTCATTTACAAAAGTATCCAAAATAAAAAATAAATAAAATAAATATAAAGTATACCTTTTATTTATTAATAAGATACTTATTTTAAAGGAGCCAAACTTTCCTTTGTACAATTGCAATATTGAGAGACCTTAAAACGTTGTATATATGTCACTTTGTTCCAACGAGGTTCTGAGAGATGTTTCATTTCATTCCAAACATATGGTATTGTAAATAAAAGATGGGCCAAAAAGGCACATACCTTTTATTTTGCTTTTATATATTCAATAAATATGTATTTTAAAAATATGTTTTCCTTGAGTTATACTCACGCGTGATACGTACAGAAGTTGTCATAGAATCCATACTGCAGATCTAGATCTATATGCAGATTCCCTAACATTTGACTGAATCACTATAATGATACTATCTTGTCAGTGAGTTAATATCACCCAAGATGGTAGAATAAATTCGTTTGATATCGATAAACCTTCGACTTCAACTAAACCAAGGAAAATCTGGATTCCAATATAGCTCATCTTGGAAACTTTCGATTGCTCAAACATTTCTGAAATCGGAGAAATTTCGGTAAAGGAAACAGCTTCCCTTATTTTTGGCAGATGGAACGAGGATGAAACTAACTCAAATAAAATGATGATGGTATGATACTGGAGACTTCAAGCAATGGATATAAAATCGAAACAGCAACCTGTACGTGAAAATCGCCCTATACAAATGCATTTAGTTTTCTCACATTAACAATCGTTCGGGTACACTGGTGTAATTAGTCCGTTACTTACAAGCTCGTTTTGTAAGATAAAACATGTATGACATACAATATTAAACATCATTAAACTGTGCATCGAAATGAAAATTGCCAGCATGGTATTCAAAAGACGTGCGTATAACTGTATAATGATTCCCGTTGACACCAACGTGAAATTGCAAATATCCCGGAAACAAAGATATAGTAGTATGAGTAGGGAAAAGAGGTTCGCGCCATAGTCTCCCATGACTAAAGCATGTGACTGATCTGTACCTCCTATGTGGCACAAAGAATACTTCAAGGTGCTACAGTATAATGTAAGAGAATGAAACAAGAGGAGAAAAGCAGAAGAGATAATTATAAGGAGTGGTAGGGCTGAGAACCAAAGTAAACGAGCTTCCAAATACAGGGTGTTCCATATGTTTCAGGAATGATGCTGTGTTTTATTGGTTTTCTTTTCAATCTAACTGAATTTTTGACACAATTTGTCTAAACACATGTTTTGAATAAGTTGGGAAAGTTTCATATCGTGAAGTTAAGTAGTCTCAATTATATGGTTGCTATAGTAACCTAGTGGTAGGGTAGGTGGAGCAGGTGTAACAACGTGCAAAATATATGAAAAATTGGCAAAAAAAAGTTTTTTTGTACGAAGTGTGACTAAGTATTAGGTTGTCAGAGTTGGATCAAACTTGTCAGTAATTAAACAAAAATGAAGGTGGATTCCAAGAAAGTAAAAAAAAATGTCACCACCCTTGATCACATCACAATTAAAACACCTGTCATGTCATAAGTCACGAAGGAGAATAAACACAGGTACTTTTGGACGAGCGGTCATCTTGAAAAGTGAAAAAGTCATTGGCAAAGGAAAACCTTCGACTTAGGCAACACACAACAATCTGTGACAAGACATGACATATGTGAATAACAGTTTTCTGCAGCAGACACAATTAAACTCCTAACAAAACCGCATGGGGACTCAATGATGGTAACCTCTAGTATGAGTGGGACAAGTGGTACAAATCTGGAAGGGAAACTGAGACCGATTATCCAAAATGTGGACATCCGAGAACAGTGAGAGCGCTAACTAATGCGGAAGGGATATATGCTGAAATAATGATGATGGCTAATAAAGGGTGTGATAACATTATTAATTCCCAGGAATCCACCTTTATTCTTTTTAATTTCCAACAAGTTTGATGCGACTATGACAAATTAATACTTTGAACACTTTATACAAAAACTACTATTTTTTACAAAAATGTCATGTTTTGCGCGTTGTTACACCTGCTCCACCTACCCTACCCCTAGGTTACTATATCAACCATATTATTCAGTCTACCGAGTTTCATGATATGAAACTTTTACAACTTATTCACAACATATTTGGACACATTTTGTTAAAAAATCAGCTAGATTGAAAAGAAAACCAATAAAATACAGTATCATTCCTGAAACATATGGAACACCCTGTACATGTATCTATGCGTGCTCAATAAGAAAAAGGCTCACCATTGATAAAAGATTGTCAATTTGTTCCTGAGTAAGTGAAGGGTGAGCAAATAAGTAAAGGTTTATTTTGTCCATCTGGGTCCTTAACTGAGATTGGTTTCCTGATTAGTTCAATATCTCTGATATTATATAGTCGCTTATATTAGGCTTATATTTATTCCAGGTCGTGCAGACCATTGTTGCATTTGATTTATAGCTATACATTGACATTTGTATGATACATTTGCACAGGTGACGTTGCGCCTTTTTTAATAGGCTAGATCTTGTATCTTAGAAGTCCATCAGTTCAAAACTCTACTACTTATATATTTCTCCGTGTACTGTGCCTATTCATTTAACAATTCAGTTGTAAACTTTCTCTTGAAAAAATAAATCTTCCAGATTTGTTGAATTTTCTACCAAAAATCAGCTACTTCCCACCCCCGCCTCTGGCATTTTTTCCGATGACGTGAGGGGGGGGGGTCTTGTGTAGGTCCTTCATAAGTAGGCCTTTTTGGGCATTACTTAGCTTTGAAATCTGCAACCCCCCCCCCCCCCCCGCTCCTTTGAAAGCTCCAGTGGATCGGCCAGTGAGCTGCTATGCCGGAAAACAATGAACTGGGCTTATTTTGGAGGATAAGGGCGAGTATTTTTCTTGAAGCGGGCAGTTTCACTTGGATCTGTCCTGGATGTGCCCTACCTAATTTTTCCAACAGCTTCTTCAATGACTCCACTCTTTCTCATTCCTCGGTAACAAACTCCTTCAGCGCTCTCTCTGATCTTGACAATTCGTCATCATCATCTGATTCTACCGAATCAGAACCACCGAGGCCGACTGCACGAAAGAGGCGAAACCAGGTTCGCCTCATGTCTATCAACTTCCGCAGTCTAATTAGTCATGAGAAGCAACTACACCTTCAACAACTAATTGAAACTCACAAGCCAGATGTCATCATAGGCTGTGAGACTCACCTGGACAACACCATCGACAGCAAATGGATATTCGGTCAAGACTACCTTAGCCCACCTCCATACAGGAAAGACCGAAAGAAAGGTGCTGGCGGTGTCCTAATCGCAGTCAAAAGTGACTTCATATCAGTCGAATATGAAGCGACAGCTGATTGCGAAATCATATGGTCCAAAGCATCTCTATCAAATGGGGACATACTGTTTGGATCCTTCTATCGTCAACCAAACAACGATACTGGTGCTTTGGACTCGCTCCAAACATCCCTCGATAAACTTTATGCTAATGGTAATACACATATGAAAAACATCTTCCTATGTGGTGACTTCAACTTACCAGACATCGATTGGGAGAATGGAACTATAAGGCCTAATTCTCAATATTCTAATGATCTTAATGAGAAGATGATTACAATAACTGATGATCATGGCCTAACCCAACTAGTCAAGGAACCAACTAGACAAAATAACATCCTTGACTTAGTATTCACTACATGCCCAAACCTCGCAGAAAGAATCTCGGTGGTTCCGGGCATGAGTGATCACGAGGCAGTCCTATGTGATATAAACCTAAAAATGAAAATTCAGAAAAAGAAGCCTCGTAAGGTCCACATATACAAGCGGGCAGAATGGACTGGACTTAAAGAGACTCTACGATCTAAGTTCAGCGAATTCAAAGAGAACTGTGAAAGTAGATCAGTTGAAGACAACTGGTCCTCCTTCAAATCTACATTAATATCGTCAATCAATGAGCATATTCCAAGTAAAACTCTAAGTGGGAAATTCAAAGTACCCTGGATTACCACCAGGATACTGAGAATGATCCGACAGAAACAAAGACGATATAATGTTGCCAAACGTTCAAATGAACCTCATCATTGGCATAAATACAAATCACTACGGAAATTAATCCATAGTGAAATTCGTAAAGAACATCAGCGCTACATCAACGATCTGCTTGACATTGATGAAAGCGAAATCATAAATGAGAATGTTCAGCACAAAGGCATTACCAAACGCTTCTGGAGCTACATAAAGTCTAAACGCAAAGATGCATCAGGTATCAGCGTGCTGCGTAACAAAGATGGCGACGAAATAACAGACGCCGCCCAGAAAGCAAACATCCTCAATGACCAATACAATTCTGTATTCACAGATGAGGATGCCACTCTACCGACAATGGTACCTAGTCAAATTCCTGAAATGCCAAATATCAAAATTTCGACAAAAGGAATTCACAAATTGCTAACTGGCCTAAATCCATCAAAAGCCACTGGACCCGATCTTATTCCGACTAGGGTCCTGAAGGAATGCAGTGACAGCATATCACCATTCCTTCAAATAATTTTTCAACAGTCTATCGATGAAGGCTTAGTGCCTTTGGACTGGAAACATGCCAATGTTACTGCTATCTACAAAAAGGGACGAAGAGATGAGGCTGTGAATTACAGGCCTGTATCTCTGACGTCAGTTCCATGTAAAATAATGGAACATATTATATTCCATCATGTTATGGCCCACTTTGACCTCTATGAAATTCTAGTAAAATTCCAACATGGATTCAGGTCAAAGCACTCATGTGAAACACAACTTGTCAATACAATAGAGAATATAGCTCGGGCCCTCGACAACAATAAACAAACAGACATGTTGGTATTAGACTTTTCCAAAGCGTTTGACACGGTGGCTCACGAACGCCTCTTGCTCAAACTCGACTACTATGGAATTCGCAATAATAACTTGAACTGGTTCAGATCCTGGCTTGTAGGAAGATCACAACAGGTAGTGCTCGATGGTGAATCAAGTTCAAAAACTCCAGTAAAATCAGGAGTTCCTCAAGGAACAGTTCTTGGACCACTCTGTTTCCTTGTTTATATCAATGATATGGGCAATAACCTATCATCCTCAGCCAGTCTTAAGCTTTTTGCCGACGACAGCCTTTTATTCATGACAGTCGAAAGCAAGCAAGATGCATTAACACTACAGGAGAATCTTGATAAACTGGTCTCCTGGGCATCAACATGGCAAATGAAATTCCATCCATCAAAATGCTATGTGCTAAATATTCACAAAGGTAAATCCCCTATCATGCACAATTACACCATGCTAGGGGAAAACCTTAAGTCGGTAACACACATCCCATACCTAGGAATTGACATCACAAATAACTTACGCTGGACTACACATATTCAAACTATTGTATCCAAAGCCAATAAGGTGCTTGGATTTCTCAGGCGCAACCTCCATCAATGCCCTGAAAAAGTGAAGGCTCAGGCGTATAAGTCACTAGTCCGGCCTAATTTAGAGTATGCCAGCTCGGCATGGGATCCATACCGACAAAAAGATATTGATATGTTGGAACAGGTACAGAGAAGAGCAGCCAGGTTTGTAACCAAATGTCACTCAAGGGAACCAGGCTGCGTCACCAAAGCTCTTCAAGACCTACAGTGGGAGCCACTGAAGGAGCGTCGAGAGGCTGCTAGAGTTTTCCTTTTCTACAAAGGAAAGCAGAACCTAGCAGCCATCGACGTGCCTCCATACTTCCGCCAACAGATCAATACCAACACTAGGTTGTATCATCCTTCTAAGTTCATACAACCATCAGCTAGAACGGATGCATACAAATTTAGCTATTTCCCTAGGACAATAGCTAAATGGAACACTCTACCTGGTGACATCTTAGACTGTGACAGTCTAAGTAGTTTTAAATCATCATACTATGCCTATGTCAATAACTGCAATTAAATAGGTGTGTTTTTAATATAGATCTATGTTTTAATGTAAAGGGTCCCCAGTGCACAGCAACAAGCCTGCACTACTGGTAAAAGGGGGTGATGTCAACGCGGTAGCCTGACAGTCTCCCCAGGTAAAATGAGTTGTAAACCATAGATCTATTTTTAAATGTTAAGGTTTTAAATCATATTCTATTCAAATTCTATCACTGTTAAATTATATATCTGCTTTATATGGGCTTATTAGCCTTTTGCAGATTATTGACATAGACATAGACATAGAGTCCCCCCCCCCGTTTGCTGTTGATTAACAAGGCAAAAATTTACCAGTTTATTAATTTTAATTTTAAACAAGTTAAATGACATTTAAACTAGCCGCCACTAATTAAGCCAATCACAGCTCTTGTAACAATAATCATATTAACCAATGAAAAGAGCGTTTATAAAAATTTATGGCGTGAAAGTTGAAATGTGAAGTAAAAAAAACTTGCACGAAAAGCATGAATATCACCGTAAATACAAGCAATTAAAAGGTATTGAGTGAACTGAGGATACAAATACAGAGGAACATTATTTTGAAACATAATGTAAGAGAAATATTGAGAAAATAAGGTAGAGCTAAATAAATGAATGAATTGAAAAAACTTCGACCACCACAACCATAGATCCCGGCCAGATTCTTTTGTAGTAGAATCAGTAGCTCAATAATATTTCCTCAAGATGAGACACCTCAGAAAATTTCAAATTTTAAAATGACGATTCTGGAGCCATTTCTGAAAAATATGAGACAAATCATACCTCATTCGAAGGGTCTTGTTATTCTTTACCTTTTTTATCACCAATGGCCGTTATTCAAGCAATACTGCGTTGATAAGAGGCCAAAACAGTGATATTTTATCGCCGGACTCTTGTCTGTCCAAATCTGAATGTTGCTCCCGTGGTTCCAGAAATGTGACGTCATCATTACAATGATATTTGGACACACAAGAGTCCGGATTTCGTGAAAAATATTCGCCGTATTGAAAGTCAAATAACTGCATCCATAGGTTATTTACTCGAACCAAACAAGTAGAAATAGAAAGATGAAGATCTCAGCTATAAAATAAGTGCAAAATCTGTCATGGGGAAACAGGTACCATTTTGTATAAGGAACGTTTTGAAAGGTGGTCACTTTTTTTTCGAAATTTTCCAATTTAGTGTCGTATCTTCTGTATTATTCTTTGACTGTACTACAAAACGATCTGGCCAATATCTGTGACCACAACACAAGTTTTTTTCAATCTCATGGTAAGCTTTGTAAAGTAAGTCTATCCCTCCCTCTTTTCAGTAGCCTATATTCATATAAATCCTGATTTAGACGCATAGGTCCCGGGATCTTATCCAATTCCAGGACAGGGGCTTGGCTGGAGGGTCGGACAAGCCCTCTGATGTGTCTGAGTCAGACTCTGTACTGATTTAAATAGTAAAGGGAGTTCTATGTTGATGCTGGGTCTGGGTAAAAAGGCGTAGGGTCGGTGTATATTAGGGTGTACGTTAAAATGTGATTTGAGTTAGGAGATGCAATTGGAGATGTGAAATATAGTATACGTCAATTATATTTGTCCTAAATAGCGTGTTCTGATTGGCTGGAATTGGACACACCTAGCCTAGCTATGTGTGAATTGGCCAAATAATGGTAGCCTTTACCACCATCATACACCCAAATGGCCAAAGGCGCGCTATACTGCTAAATACAACACCCCACGCCTTTTTACCAAAACCATTTTTGAACACCCTGTAGAGTCGTAGACCCCATGCCCAACGCCTTTTTACCTAAACCCGTTGATGCTACCTGAAATTGGTTGAAAGAGGTTGTGAATAAAAATATATGGAATCCTTTCAATAATCGACATGCTTATTCAAACAACCCCACAGAGCAGGGTTGTCAAAAGAGTCTAGAGTCAATTTCTTCTTTGTAAGACACGTCCACTATTAAAACTTGGTAGTTTCTGAAGTTCTTTTTTTATTTAGGTTTATTACCATTTATTGTTTTTTATGAAGGACAGCCCATAATAGCTGCTATACGTAAAAGATGCATGAAATCAAATAATACCAACCAAGTTTTATTGGTTGTTTCTGTTTAGTTAATTTAGTAATTTTTGATCATGCATAAAGGTGATTTAATGGTATTATATGATAATGGCTCAAGTAACAGTCTCATTTTAAAGAAAGTAAATATTCTTATTTTAGAGTATTTCCTTGTAAAAGCATGGCCTCTGTAAGCGCGACTGATTCTAATGAAAACCTTGAAGAGAAGACAATTCCAGAACTTAAGGATATGTTACGAGAGTTAGATGTACCTGTTGGAGGCAAGAAAGGTGAACTGATCACACGAATCAAGCTTGCTAGATTAGATATGCCACAGCTGGTCCAGAAATGCAAAGACCTTGGGATCAGTCATCAGGGAGGAAAAAGGGAATTGGTGAGGGACATCCAAGAGAAGGAAAAAACAGGTAGTTTTTGAATCTAAGTACACTGATTCCTCTTGTTGGGCTTACACTGAATCCTGCAACTCAGTGCCAATTTCAACTGCAATTTATTCTTCAGTGATATTTTCTTTTCTTATGTATTGGATTGTTTTTTGTTTATGATGTCTCTATTTAATTACTTAGATGTCAGAAGTTACTTTCACTTATCATCATCTATTACATTTTGGGTAATTCTTGTCAACTTAAACAACATTGAACCAACTTTAAATCACTAACACAATAAGGGGAAAATGTCTATTCCTTAGAAGATTTGAATCATTCTCAAAAGCATCGCAAAACCTGAAATGCAAAAATTCTAGGACTATTCTCATACCAAAATGGAAGGAAATGGATTCATTTTCATTATATAATTTCAAAATCTACAAGATGTGAAACATAATATAGTTGATAAACCATGGTTATGATTTATTCAGCTGAAAATGAACCAGGACATCCAATTGAAGTTGAGATAGAAGACTGCAATGATGATGATGATGAATGGGAAACCGATGAGAGTGAAGATGAGAGTGAAGATGAATCTGCTGATTTTGCATCTCAAAACAAGGGAGGTAAAGGTAGGTAGATTATTTCATTTGAACTGTGTGTATCTATTATTTTCCAATTATGTACAATCGAACCAATGGAATTTGATCATGTACAATTTTGTATAATAAATAACAATAATCCATACAAAATGTTGCTTCATTTATCAACTAAAGATTGAAAATGTAGATGTACATCATTGACTGAGCACAGTACCAACGTAGGCAAGTCAGTTTCAAAAATTACAATATCCCTTGTTATACGCAGCTATCTGTTTATAATATTTCTTTTCTAGTGTCACAAGTCAGCATGTCTTTAACTTAAAACATTGAATTAATTTATGTAGCCAGCCAAGTTATTAAACGTCCTTTATGAGATTGTTGGATTATTATCTCATCATGTAGCTTCTTGATGGATATAGAGAAGCTGTCTGGCAGTTTATCTCTCCATCAATCCATCCATCTGTTCAAATTACTCATATTATACTATTGGCAGATTATGTTCAAATTTAGAGGCTGGTGCCTTTATAGGACCTCTGTGCTCAAAAAGAAATATTGCCACCCCATGATTGCCACTGAATTATGTTAACACAAATACGAGTCATCATATTTTGTGCAATTTCTATAGGCTTATGCCCTATTGCCATATGACCTTCCCTCAAGAAGGAACTTAAAATATGGGATCAAGGAACATCATGGATGCAGGTTTTGCCAAATAAAAGACAATTCTACTTTACTCTGCATGTCTGCCGAGTTATTTTTATAATGAAATGTTCAAAATGATGAGTGTTTTGATACAATATGTTTTTTCATTGGGATTGCTATTCCAGGAAGTTGATGTTTTTTTCCAGTTATATTTTAACTTGCCCCCCCCCCATGATATGGCCCCATCAAGTTAAAGAACAGTGCTTCCCTCTGAAATAAATGTATGCTTAAACAACAAGTAACAGACTTATACCCCCCATATGTATGTAACAAAAAATGGTAGGTGGTGTCATTTTGCATGTTATTATTCCTTGTTATATTTGTAAGCGTAGTGATGCATACCTTGGTCCCAAAACATATTTCATTTCTATCTATATGAAGCTTATCAGAAAATATGCCGGATATCAATACAAATTGTTTCTTTCAGATACATGGTTTGTGAGGCCTCTTGAAAAGTGCGAGAAGTGTGAAAAAAAGATGGAACTTACTCAGGCAGAAGATCATCTTAAGGAATGTTGGTTTGAGGAAGGACCTGCTAATGTCTTTTACTTGGAAGCACAGGCATTTCAGGTAAATGACCAGAAGTTTCCCTCTAAATGACCCCATACCCACAAACTTTGATACATTGTATCTTTTTTCATGGACACCCCTGGGTTCTGAAACTTTGCAATCCTATGTAACTTTCCATAAAGAACAAAATGATGTATAACATAACATGATAGGGTAGGGATACTACATGTATGAGTTCATGGGGGGGTGCATACATATGAAACACCCTGTATATATCAAATAAAATGAATTCAGTAACGATTATTTGTCTTTTTACTTGTTTAGGTGATGAATATTCATCTGATTCTACCCTTGAACGCTTCGTTTGATGATCTGGATGAGGCTCTGAGAATGTACTGGATGGAATGTTGTGGACATCTCTCTCAGTTCTGGTACAGGGTAAGGCACATTACACAATACACATGTTACTGTTCCATTTTTATGTCACCACCACATTTTACATGCTGATGCCTAGGGACACCTGGAGCTCTGCTCGAGAAGGGATTTTCAAGATGGCAGCTAAATTTCTCATTATAGAATGTAAGCCTTGCTCAAGAAGACATTTTCAAAATGGCTGCAGAATTTCAAAATGGTGGCCATTTTTAGTTAAAAAATGTACTCAACTCAAATACCAATCGACAGATTGCTCGAGATGAAATTTTCAAGATGGCCGCTATTTATCAAAATCTCCGCCATTTTTCATTAAAATGAAAGAAGAAATTTTAAAGGTGGCAGCTGAATTATAAAATGGCCTTCATTTTTCGTAAAAACATAATCTTTGATAACTCAGATACCAGTGGATGGATTTGATTCAATTTTTATATGGTCGCTCTTTCTCAAAACATGTTATGTTCGGTGGGATTTGCTACTACTTGTAGTTGCTGTTTTTCTAGTTACTAGAATGTTTGCAGCATCAACAGTTGGAGTACTCCATATTTTAAACTCATCTACATTTAAGATTATACTTAGCTGAAGGTAATTGTATTCTATTGTTTCAGAAAAACAGTGCACCATTCCAACCCCCTTCCAGTTACCAAGACTCCTGTATCCAGAAGTTCAAAGATGATTTTGGATTCAGTGATACACCAACAAAGCTAATGTCAACAAAGCTTAAGAAGATTTTAACAACCAAAAATCAATTGATTCGCTATGAATATGACATTGGCACAACAACTGAGTGCCTTATTCTGTTCCATGGCTGCTTCAGGGTGAAGGGAAAGCCCAAGATGATTGACAATAGTGCCTTGATAATGAGAAATATAAAGCCAAAGATTCCATGTGGAAAGTGCAAGAAGCCTGCCAAGTATCTCCTAAATAATGGAGGTATGGAGTATGCCAGTCCAACTCAGTTCTTTTGCTCTAAGAAGTGTGGAAGAGGAGAAGAGGAGGAGATGTTGATGGGATATTTCAACTCCCCTCGCTCTGGTGCTTGTGGGTTTGATGGTTGATGGCAAATTCCCAAAATGTTAGAGACGAGTCTTGCATTGAGATTGAAACCTTCACAAAAGGAGCTGCTAGAAGAATCCATAGAATAAGGAAAAGTCCAAAAATTTGAGAGACTAAGAACTACACACTTTTCACAAATACAGTCATGTAGGTGTATTCCCTCATGGTATTTTCATAAACCTCCTTCAAATTTTTATCATTTTCAACACCAGTTGATGGCAAAGATATAGGTCTTCATATTAGCCTTTTTTGGTTAACCACATATGCCATCTATTCAGCCAAAAGTAATTTAAAAATATTGTAGTAGCGATCTTTAAATGTTTTTACATGAGTTATTTCCTCAGCATGATATTGCACTAAAGAAGCTTTGTGCAGTATTCAGTTGATCGAATGAGGGACGTGTTCCCATGATTTTTTGTTCCTTTTTTCTGTCAATACGCAGTATCTCCCTTTAATAGAGATTTCAAAATTCCTGATCATTTTTTCTTATGTGTCAAAGAAAAATGAAAATATAAGTAAGCACTATGCACTTCTATGAAAAGTGTTTTCTGTCTTAGGTCATTTCTCCTTTGTTTCCAGATATATTATACATGCATCCAGATATATGTAAAATGGAGTAAATGTGATTAAGTTGGTGCTAATTTCTCAATTACAGTAAGTATACTGTATTGTGCTAATTCTGAAATCATGGATTTTGATTTTGCAATCATCCAAAAAAGATGTTGGATTATCTTGCAGTGATCATTGAAGATGAGATGTTAACAGCTGAGTGATTTGCTCACTGTATTTAGTGGAAAAGATTTAAATGTTACAGTTTATATGTTATTTGACCATGTCAGTTATTTAATATAAAAAGTTACAAAGACATTTGTAATGCTTATGGGTGTTATTGTTCTTTCTAAATTCTTAAATTGAGTTTACTTGTAAGTACACTGTATCTCATTAACTAGTATTAAAGGAATCTCATAAGTCTGAGAATATGTGTGTTAGGGTACACATGTAAACTAATCACTTTTCACCAAATTGAACAAAACAATCAATTTGCTGCTAAATCTCAAATGTATATTTTTATTCTGCATTTTGTTAATGACTGTTAGCAGGTTAGTGTATAGCCAATATCACTGGTGATCCACTCGATTACGCTGGTTACCAAAACGAGCCGTTATGGTAACAAAATGTCGAACATCCGGAAGGTACGATTTTTCTTGTTTCCTTATTTTACACTTGTAGGCAGAATTCCCACGACATTTTTTAACACATACGTGTATCAGTATCATATGTTTAAGAAAGTGTACATATTTGCGAACAAATAGTTTAGAAGACAACAGAATCGTCGATTTACTTCCTCACTTAAGTTACATAAACGGTTTGGGTTAAAAGTGCAGATCTTAACTATTTTTCGAAAAACTGTTTATGTAACTTAAGTGAGGAAGTAAATCGACGATTCTGTTGTCCTCTGAGCTATTTTATCGCAAACATGTACATTTTCTAAAACATATGATACTGATGCACGTTGTGAGAAAAAACGTCGTGGGGATTCTGCCTACAACGCGTGAAATAAGGAAAAAAGAAAAATCGTGCCTTCGACGTACCGACATTTTGTTACCAAAACGGTTCGTTTTGGTAACCAGCTAATCGAGTGGATCACCAGTGAATATTATATATATAGGCTCCTATCTGATTTTTACTATTTTTGTGTCAAAACAATAATGCAGAAAAATTGTAAGAAATGCTAGTTGATTTGAAAAATCATTGAGATGACATGATTCGTTAATTATTAACTGTTGAGTTCAATAAAATAATTAAATACTCAATATATGTATTGTGTTTGAAATGATTTGTGTTAAGCACAAACTTGAGTTACCCATTGACATATTGAGGCCATTTGAGAGGTAGCAAAAAATGTTATTGCCAAATTGTCAACCCTTCTAAACTCCGGGGGTTCACTTCAATATACTTCTTAATACCTATGTGCCGCCCCAAAGACCCCCTTTTTGAGCATTTTTTCCATGTCAATGTCCTCTCAAGATTGAAGGTTTCCATGTTTAATTCCTCTGAGACTAATAAATGACTAAAGATCAACTTTTCTAATGATTTGTGTAAGGCCTTGGCAACTGATTTAATGAATTTAATACAATTTTCTGTAGAAAGACTGAATTTTGACTTAAAAAGGGTACTTTCTTAGACAATTTACCATGTTTTTTTCCTCTCAGATTGGCCAATTGTTTTATGCTCAAAGCCAAAATTGACCGTGCTGCACATACCTACCCAAATTATTTGGAGTGAACCCCCGGGCTACAAACACATCGTACTACCCATATTCCATGACATGTAGGGTATGGAACCCAAAATACTATTTTAGATTTTAAAGTTTGTGATATAAAATATGTATAGATTTCATGGAAAAGGATACAAAGTTTGCAGTTAGAATGTTTCAAGCAGTTCTCATTAAAGTTGACAAAGTTCACGGGTTTCATTAGCAGCAGGAGATTTTCACTGGTTTTCAAAAAATCGCCTGTTGTTTTTAAGGACTTTTCAACTTTTCCATGTTAAATTCATGATTTCCATAACTTTTGCTTGCTGTTTTCATTTATTTAGCCTGTTGTGAGAAATTCTAGTGAAACCCCTGAATAGTTTATCCCCAACTTGAATAACTTAAACCAAATTGTACGTCAGTATAAATTGAAGCAAACTAATTTCAAAAGTTTTGTTTAATTTATCAAATAACAGTAAACAGATCCTCCTGTAGTCGATACACTATATTCAGATATTGGGATTATCCCATATTGAATATTGAACGCAATGTGGCTTGATCATTTTACTTGTGTGTAGTTGTAATTTCCACTATTACGGATATAGTCAATATATTACTTGTATATTGTCCTTTAGGATAATCCAATTTCTGTGACAATTTCCTAAAGTATAGCATAAATTACAACTACATAGTCAATAGAGCAAGCCACTCCGAGTTCAGTTCAATAAAAAGAAAACCCTGAGATGATTCATTCTATTTTAAACCAAACAGTATCATTGGCTTAGGTGGGGTACCTTTTTCACTTTTTGTATGACAATGGACCTACATTTTGCATTTTTTCTCATTTTGGTATGTCAATGGGCAATCTGGCAATGGTCATAGAATTATCACAACTTTTAGTTATGGCAGTGCTTGGCAAATTAAATCTTTTGTGAAAAGAATATAGTCCTATGAATGATTGCTTTGTCACTTATTCTGCCATTTGGTATGAGGATGACCCTATTTTCACAATAAATTTCAATTTTGGATTTGATTTAGCTTTGTTTTTGGGTCATATCTAGCAATGGTATGGATCTATATTTTTGAGAAAATGGTATGGCTACTTGGCCATTGAAACCCGAGCATAACATGCAGTGTAACGCTGGGTTTAAGAAATTCGTGAAAAAGTACATATGTGTCAGTAATCAGTGACAAAAAGCAAAAGGGACTATGTCTATGTCGATAATCTGCAAAAGGCTAATAAGCCCATTTAAAGCAGATATATTATTTAACAGTGATAGAATTTGAATAGAATATAATTTAAAACCTTAATTTAAAAATAGATCTATGGTTTGCAACGCATTAAAATTGAAAGGAACTTTCCTGGTTGGCCCCTGTACTAGGAGCTCCCTTTATATTGAAATACCCTGGGGCGACTGTCAGGCTACCGCGTTGACATCACCCCTCTTTACCAGTAGTGCAGGCATAAAAGTGCTTGATAGATGGATAGAAAGAAATGAATCCCGGTATTCACTATTCCTGTGTTATCACTGTTTTGTTATCAAATTTCGTTCAGTGTAACGCGCACCTCGACACGACGCCATCTTTGAACGAAATATTTGTTTGATAAATATTATCCTTATTTTAATGTTTTGCTGTGTTTAGGGTAAAATCCGTCATTAGCGACAACTGCAAAATCGGCCATGAGTGACGTAGAAGTGAGTAGTTCAAATTTTTAAGATGCCTTTTCGGTATATATGGCTTCATGGTCAAATAGATATATTTTTAGAAATTCACGTGAATTTTTTGTTTCAGTTTTCGTTTTTGTTTCGGTTCAACACTTCAAAATGCTCAATAGATCATTATAACATTTCATCTCATAACTTGTAACGTGCACATCACTAGATTTAGCTCTTTGAAGCAGTTCCCAGTGTTCATTGGTCGTGTCTACCTTGGATCGAGAGGTCATGATGATTCTTATTTCAGTAAAAATATTGATATTTTCAAAATAAATAAGGTTATGTACTGGGAGGTTTTGGATATGGGGTTTATCCAGAGGGAGATATGCATATCTACCTGAGGGACCGAAGGTAGATGTGCATATCTCACGCACAGGATATTGTAGTCCAACAACATTAGACCTAGCCTGGGCCTCGTTTCTTATCTGACATGTCTTGTGGCCCCGGCTAGGTCTAACTTCCATGATGATTTTGCCCTTGTTGCGATCATTTAATCGTTCAGCAGGTTTCGACATGCGGAACTAATTAAACTCCGAAAACATGGTAATATTACATAAAGAATGTGATTCAAGCATGCATACATACCTTATAAATACATACACACCATCCCGTACCCCCCTTAGACCATATTGATGCATAATTACGAAAATATTGGAGACAGGTTTGGAATTTTACGAAAATATCGGTCAGCTCCGGTAACATCGAAATTGCAAATCGTATCAGGAATTAACCGTCATTGCGACACTGCATCAACGAACAGTAGGTTTGCAATTAATAACGATTTTGTGTGTATACAAGCGCTATATAAATCAATCAAAGATACCTGCTATCCTCAAAAATGGCTATTTTATCCCGAGTAATCGCGTGATAATTATCAATCTATTTGACAACAATTTCGTTTCAATAGTTTAAATTTTAACCCGGGACGAACAGACACAATGAAGGACATGCGGAAATGTCATTTTAGAGATTGGTAAGTTTAACCTCATTTTACTTGTATAAATGACCATTTAATACAATAATATTGTGTTGAATCGCTTGATGTTATGTGTTTTTATATTGTTGTCAAGTATCAGTTGCATGTTATCGCGGAAAAATGGTTTCGGTGGATCCAAAACTTGCATCAATGGAAAGAATAGTAAAGAGGTTAAACTCAATAATGGCCCCAAGAAAATTCTTAATAATAAATAACGCCGTTATTGAGTTTAACGACGTTGAACTAAGGATATTGTAGCACGTTTATGATGACTGATATGGGGCTGCCTGATATGGGGCTTTACAGGCCCGTAGCCAGGGGGGGCTCGGGGGGCTCGTACAAGCCCCCCCCCCCCAGATATCTTCTAAAATAATGTGGACCTACCTTTTTGCTTTCGAAGAATTTTCTGACATTTCGAGGTAGAATAGCAACTAAATGATTCGGAAATTAATCATATTGCTCAGAAGGTGCCAAATAACCTAAATATTCAATTTTTATGTAAATACATAAATCATATATTTTGATCGTAGAATTGCCCAGAACGCACTAAATCAGCCCAAAAATCTTAACTTTTTCAAGGGAGCATGCCACTGATTTTTTAATCAATCATATATTTTGATCCTAGAATCGCTCAGAACGTGTCAAATAAGCCTAAAAATTCGATTTTTTTAAATACGTAAATTATATATTTTGATCATTAGAACGATCAGAACGCATCAGAATCGCCAAGAATGCGCTAAAAAGCCTAAAAAATTCAGAATGCACCAGAATAACCCAGGTGCGAGTAGAAATAATCTTGATTTACGTCATTAAAAATTCAAAATTCAGTCAAAGTAATATCATATTTGAAATCTACCTGTAAAATTACATCTAGAAATGTGGTTTTAAAAAGTGTTTATCAACTTTGAAAAATTAATTAATGTGACTTCTAGCTCGGGGAGATTCCCCATAGACCGGGCCATGCTATAAAATCACAAAAAATGAAATATCTTTTCTTTTAGTGGACAGATAATATTTTGCTTTACTTGACATATTTTCATGAGTATAAGTATCAGACCCATGAGGGTTATATGAAAATTGAGCCACTTAAATTGATAATATTCAAGTTAAAGGGAACTTTCTAATATACCTGCCATGTTAATTGACCCGAATCAGCCACCTGGTGGTGAAACTGGTAACTACCTACTCGCATTTGGGTAATTGCCCAGAATGCGCCAATTAAGCCATAAAAATTCAATTTTTTGAAATATGTAAATCATATATTTTGATCCTAGTATCGCTCGGAACGCACTAAATCAGCCCAAAGTTCCTAAATTTTCCGAGGGAGCATGCCCTCTGGCTAGATCACTCACAAGTTATTATTTTACAGGCCATGATAATTTGGCGCGTATTTTGTTCCTGATAGAGCCCATGAATCAACTAACTAGTCATTTTAACACCATGAGGGAATTACCGGGGATTTTTCAAAATTTGGGCCCTTATTTTCTTCTGTGCAAGCGCAGAAATTTTTTGGTCCCCTCCCTTGTTTTTGTGGCCACCCCTGGTGTCTTGTTAATAACACCGTTGTGGTCACAATACGAAGTTGGTTAAGCATGAAAACATTTTTGTGTGTGGATGGGGGGGGGGGTTCGAGCCCCCCCTAACCAAAACCTGGCTACGGGCATGCTTTATATATAGAGAGAAGGATTATAACGCCTCAAATTTCGAAAACTGGAAGTAAAAAAAATATATGAATTATTGGTCAGAATTTTATAATTAAAGTCCATTTCACTGCTTCATTTCGTCAGTAGAACGGCAAAAATAAGAAATTGGGAGACCATTGTGCAATAATATATGGAAAAGTATATTCATAATGTACATGAATTGGTCAGAAATATGCGTTTAAATTTCAAGTTTTCCTTAAAAGAAATACTGAGATTTCGTAATTGAGATTTCATTTTTCAAGGTTTTCTAAACAAAGCCAATATAATATACCTCATTGTATTTTGGTACCATTTTGTCATAAAAACCTGGTGTTGTTTATTTGCAGGATCGATCGTTGAATGGAGACCGATCAAGAAGCAGATCTAGGTCAAGATCTTATAAATCCCAAAGCAGAAGTAGATCTAAGTCACGTACACGCTATGCCTCAGACAGTAGATCAAGGTGTGTATGCTTCCAATCTGTTGATTGATAGCATAAAACAGAGAATTATTAGATTTTCTACAATTAACATTTAAATTTTTTTAACTAAATCCATTCTTTTAAATAAAGTTATAGTAAAATCATTTCATTTAAGAAAATGTGTTAAACAATTGTTAATGTTAGTTAATATTATGCTGCAGTTGGGCATGTTTTATCTTTCCAGGTCCAGGAGTCGTTCAAGATCAGGCAGCACAAGACGTAGAAGATCTTCCAGACAGTAAGTACAATCTGGACACTCTACATGTTGCATGAGGGAAGTGTATGTCATCAGATCTTTTTTGAATGAAGGTTTGGGCATATAGAGAATGTCTCCTTCTATCTACTTTACTTTAGTCCTTATATCAGTATGCTTATGATCTGTTCTGGTAATAACTCAGATACTAGTGGTCCGATTTGCTTATGCCACATGCATTTGCTCTAAAATAGGAGTTCTGCTCTGCTCAGAAGCTTTTAATTTTACTATTATTGAAAAAGTAAGTGTATTTTGCATTTTTTTAGAAACGTTGGTTTTACTACAAATAAATATGAATCACATGTTAATCTCTAATCATTGAATTCACAATGTTTTTTTTTTTAAATATGACAACTGTTTTCAAAAAATGGTTGCCATTTTGTACTTGGAACTTGATTCCAGGTATTTACAACTTTAAAGGTTAACTTAATAATTGTTGATGCTTGTATTGTGCTAACAGTCACATTTGCTTTCTCATTTCAGCTCCCGGAGCAGAAGGTATGTGGTATTAAAATATAACCCAAAGTATCTAGCTATTGGCTAGTCATTGCTAGGTGTCAAACCAAGGGCGTTACAATACCCGGGAATTTATCGGTTCGTGCAGTACTTGTTTGTGATAGCGCCCTCTGTAGGTCACTGAGCTTAATAAGCCTACAATAATATGGGGTAGGATATCGGGAATTCGGTCAGTTTCTATCCGTGGATTACGCTATGAATTGAAGCAAGTGTGACCACTTTATCCACTTAAACAATTTGATAATTGATTAAATCTTTAAACAAAATCGATAAACACGTTATACACTTCCTATCTCCTCAAAAATTAGCATGTATTTATGGATTGTGTTTTCGAACAAGGCTCGACCCAGACCAATAGGGAAATCCTTATGCTAATTAGTATGACGTCATATTTTCCTGGGGAATCCTAGATTTCAAAGCCTGGGTCTGTTATGTGTCAAATGTAAACGCTTTTTTTGCAGACAGAAAATTGACAGATTAGCTTTTAACTTTCAGCTTTGATGTTAAATATTCTATATTTCTACCGGACTTCTTGCTGAATATCATAAAATGTTATGACTTGATTTGGACCTGACCATTGAGTGATTGATCATTCTGGAATTTTGATTGTGATTCATGATTGATTGGCAAGAAAAATAATTCCTATTGTTTTCCAGCGAAGTCAAAATGTTACAGCATGAGTTATAATGTCGAGTTTGCATCATGTTAAATTCTACAACGCCCCCCCCCCCTCATGATACTTACTTTACCCCCGACCTTTACCCCCTTGCTGATTCGTAAGTGAGGTATGCCCGGAGGTATGCTAGGTTGGGGCCCGGGGGTTGGGGGCTCGTGCCCCGCTCGTGCCACAGTCATAGACCAGTCTTACTTCAAATGTCGAATCCAATCTTGACCCCCAGAGGTACCTGGTGGGACAGTTATCTTCTTCCAAGCCCTCTGGAAATTTCGGTAATTGGCTATAGAGACTCGAGTAAGTGGGAAGAAGAATAAAGAATGGACGGGGCCAGGGGATTGGTGCCCTACCAGCCCCACCAATTCACAAGCATACACATAAGAGACAAACACACCCAGGCTCCAGGCCGTGGATGGAAATATAAAACTATTTAAGGTTCAAACTGGTATTTAATAGACCGATATGTAGTGTCTGCCATGTATTGAAGGTAAAATAATCTGCATTATTAATGTTACTTCTGTCAATACATGGATTGTGCAATGGAAAAGCAATGGCACAATCAAAAATGTGCATATCAATCGTGAATATCTCTCGGTTCAAAGCTTATTTCCAACAGAATCGTGTCAAAATATGTGTCTGAGTAACAGTTATACATTATAAGATTGCAAACTCTTACCAATTATCAGCCGAATGGCTCATTTTCAACGAAATGTCCTTAAGACAACAGCCCTGGGTCGCGCCTGAGACCAAAAACTTTCAAATAACCCTCCCCTAAATAATATTGGATAATCACATTTATGCGTGCGCGCGCAGCTCATCCACTGAACGAAACGCCACTTCCCGCTGAAATCACCGGGTATTGATTTTTCCCTTGGTCAAACAGACAAGCATAGTAGTTTTTGATATTGGAAATGAATTGATAATTCATTTTGTAAAAATATTTCAATTCATTTTTCAACAAAATGCTATATACAATACACTGTGTAACACAACAGAATGGTGCAGTTGCAATATCCCAAAATGGTATCACTAATAAATGTATTTGAAACAATAACATTGTATTTTCTCATGATTCTCAGCTTTATTTTTGTAACAAAAGAAAATTACTTTTTTGCTATTGTCTCTTAAATTAACAAAGGTCGTGTAGTTTTATATGATAAATTGCTGATGCTGTTGCAGTCGCAGCCATAGAGGTCGAGAAAGGAGCAGGTCTCCAATGTCCAGTAGGCGTAGACACCTTGGAAATCGAGTAAGATAACCCCTAGTCTGAAAGAGTTTGGCTAATCAATAAACATATCATTTTAAAGTATTATTTTGAGTATTTTAAAGTATAGTAAGTGAAAAATTGCAAATACTTTCAATTTATTGAAAACAGCAGCTTTTTGCCATTTCGTTGAATTATACACAAAATACAGATTCATTTGATTGCAGTGTTTGTTTTCAAATAGATATGCAGTTAAACCTGTAACATGCAACACTAATAAAGTCCTGTGATCCATTTGACTTGATGCTAATTGAACCCTCTACTTGGAACTCCTCCCAAGTGGAACACTATTTTGATGCACCAAAAATGTTCCATTTCCACTATTTTACTATATACCTAAAATCATTCAAATTGCCCTATTTCACAAAATGCTTCTTCTTGGGGTAAAGCAATCTTGTCTTACACCTTGATATGATTATGATTATTACATACTATTATTGTACATATTCAGTCAAGTTTAGACTGTGGAAACAGTCATGATTTGCCAATAGGGTGTGGAGGGAGCTAAATAGAGTGTGGTGCTGTGCCACAGTCTGAAAGCAATGCAAGAGCCCTGAATATTTGGACATTTTTGATTGGTTCTGTGAAAATCTACCCTCATGACAGAAAAATAAGCATATGCATCCAAGGTGTGTTATAATCATGCACCTTGGAAGTTGAACATACACCATAATTATTATTCAATTTTATGTATGCTTAATATTCTTAGGACCGTCCTCAAACCAGCAACTGCGTTGGTGTATTTGGTCTGAGTCTGACCACACAAGAGAGGGATTTAAAAGATGTTTTCTCTAAGTATGGTGACATTGAAAACTTACAGATTGTCTATGATCACAAGGTATTCTTTATATTACTCATAAAATGCTGTAGGAAACTATTAAAGTGGAATAGTGTAATTGTGACAGGAATATATTTTAACAGGTGTGTATTTCTAATATCACTCCCCCCAGTTTTCTGCAAGTTAAAATGCTCAATTCTGCAAGTGAAATTAGTGAATTCTGCAAGAAGAAAGGGCTAATTCTGCAGAAATTCCGCGGATATTCGCGGCATTTTTTTATATAATATAAATAACTGTTATTAATTTATGTCTTTGTTTAACTTTCTGACGAGAACCGAAAGAAAAACTAATGGTTTTCGAACCAGTAAACGGGAAAATATCGTGATAGTCAGGTAGTCAGTCACTACATACATGCTGATACATGCTGCCATCTAACGGCAGAAATCAAACGATGGCGTTTAGAATTTTCACTTCGCATAATTTGGGTTATTTCTGCAAGGGATTTGACTGAAAACGTGTCAAATTGTTACAGGTAAGACTGACTTTTTAAACTTTTGGAAAATATATGGATTCTGCGGAAAATTTCGCGGAAATTGACCAAAATAGTTGATTCTGCAATTCCGCGGGCAGAGGCAAATTCCGTCCGCGCTCTGCAAACACGGAATCCTGGGGGCAGTGTAATATATACAATTGTATAGATGGCATAAAATCAATTTACATGCAAAGTTTTATATATATAGAATCCAAAAGTGTTCAGTATTCATAATATACACAGTACACACATCAAAAGTTTTTTCATTAAAAGCTGGACTGACCACTTATATAACATATCACTTAAAACTACTTGAATGAGCTTTTAATGTTTTCCTACTCTCTATATACTTTCAGACTGGCAGATCACGTGGGTTTGCATTTATTTACTATCGCAAAGAAGAAGATGCCATTGAGGTATTGTACTTAACTTATATTGAACAACTTGAATGCCTTGAGTAATTTAAACTCTTGAATCAGTGGGGCTCTAAAATAAGTTGAAACCAGGGAACGTTTCATTTTGCCACCTTTTGACATTTTACTACATACCTATACAACGTGAGGTGCTCATCTTAGTAAAATTAGATGGCAGAGATCATTTGTACACATTTTAAAACAAAAAAATAAGAGCAATTTTAGTTAGGGTGTTTCATTTTTAGAATTTTTTTTCTGATCAAGTTGCTATTCATACATTATGATCTATGGTCAGTAGGGACTGGACAAAAAAATTTCAGCCAAATCGGACATCATTTGCCCCACCCCCTCAAGCCATCTTTATTTGACACATTTAGCATGAATTCATGAGATTCGATTATGAAACATGTACTAAATTGAAAACTGACATATAAAATAGGTAGAGTCCTATATTCTAGTAATAAATGAATTACAATGTCAAGTGACATTTGAAGATGTTTTGAATGCATTGATTTGCTTTCTATTGATACATGTTTCTAACTTTATGCTGCAAAAAGATAAAATTGATGACGCCCACTTTCTTATATTTTTACAGGGGTAGGGCACTAAAAAGTGTTATTAAAAATATGAAATAGTATTATGTATTATTATTATGGCTTCTTCCATAAAATACACAAGAAGACCTTTCTAAAGAGCCATTATACATCATTATCCCATCGAACGAAGTTCGGAGGGATATAGGGAACGCCTCCGTCCGTCCGTCCGTCCGTCCGTACGTACGTACGTCCGTCCGTCCGTCCGTCCGTCTGTCCGTCCGTCCGTCCGTCCGTCCGGGCAATAACTCAAATACCGTTGGCCCGATTTTGTTCATATTTCGTACACATATACCCTATGGGAGTAGAAGTTCTGCTCGAAAGCCGATTTTCAAAATGGCTGCTCATTTCAAAATGGCGGCCATTTTAGTGACGATTTTACAGTAATTTAGGTGCAATATGTAAAACTGTAATAGCAATATGTTTTAAATGTAAAAAAATTATAAAGGACATTAATAATGCTACAAATGTAGATACTAAAAAGCGCATGGCAGCCATCTTGAAAAATGGCGGCCTTTACTCGTCATTTTACGATTTTTGCTGTAACTCAAAAAATAGTGGAGCGATTTTGTTCATATTTGGTGTGTGAATACTATAAGCATTGCACACTGTCTAAAGACACTTTTGGTAGAAGGTGGCCATTTTGAAAAATGGCCGCCATTTTAACGTATTTTACTATAACTCGAAAAGTAGTGGAGCGATTTTGTTCATATTTGGTATGTGAATACTATAAGCATGGCACACTGTCCTATGACACTTTTGGTAGAAGGCGGCCATTTTGAAAACAATTTTGAAAAATGGCCGCCATTTTAATGTATTTTACTATAACTCGAAAAGTAGTGGAGCGATTTTGTTCATATTTGGTATGTGAATACTATAAGCATGGCACACCGTCCTATGACACTTTTGGTAGAAGGTGGCCATTTTGAAAAAGATTTTGAAAAATGGCCGCCATTTTAATGTATAATACTCGAAAAGTAGTGGAGCGATTTTGTTCATATTTGGTATGTGAATACTATAAGCATGGAACACCGTCTATTTCTAATGACGCTTTTGGTAGAAGGTGGCCATTTTGAAAAATAGCCGCCATTTTCACGTATTTTACTATAACTCGAAAAGTAGTGGAGCGATTTTGTTCATATTTGATATATTAATACTTTAAGCATGGCACATTGTCTAATAAAACTTTGGGGAGTAGTCGGCCATTTTAAAAAATGGCCACCATTTTTACGTGTGTTATTTTACAAGTACGTGTGCGATTTTTCAAAAAATTTTAGAGGTGGCTACTTAAAAGCATATTATTTCTTCTGATGACAACTTGGCTAGTGAGCAACCATTTTGAAAATGGTGGCCTTTCTGGTGTGCTGTTTTATGATATTTGCGCTTTGTTTGTAAAAATGCCAGCCATTTCTGTTCGATGGGATTCGCTACGCTTTGGCGTTGCCGTTGTTCTGGTTTTATTTAGAAAAATATCCAAAATTGAAATTTTTAGGCCAAAGAACGTGCACCAGGGATGGACATAGATGGTAGGCCAATTCGCGTTGACTATTCAATAACAGAGCGGGCGCACACCCCTACACCAGGAGTCTACTTAGGCAAGTCAAGTAGACCTAGTCGTAGAGATGAAAGAGATCGCGATTACGACAGATATGAGAGGCGTGATCGAGGATATAGTAGCAGAAGCAGCTATTATGATCGTGGATATGATCGTGATCGAGATCGAGGGTACTACAGCAGGAGGAGGTCTCCCTCACCTTATTACAGAAGAAGATCGCCATCACCTTACTACAGGAGAAGGTCCCCATCACCATATCATAGACGATCCAGGTCACGTTCATGGTCCCCACGTAAGTGAATATTCTTAAATTATAACATCCCTGTGGTCAAGTTTATAATGTGCACAGTGAAGATACCATGAGGAATTATCAAGGTATAAAATAATCAAACATGTAATCAGAAATTGCACTTGAGTCAGGCACTTCTTTCTGTCACAGGGAAACTGTCAGTTGAATTAACATTATCACACGCAGGGATGTATAAAATTAGTATCATTCGTCAGATTCGTATATACAGGGTGTTTCATATGTATGCACCCCCTCTAAACTCATACATGTAGCATTGCCACCCTATCATGTTATATATCATTTTCATTTGAACTGAGCTCCACCATGTAGTAAATGTGCAATAGCAACAACAGTAGCAAATGTGCAATACGGAAACTAAATTCGTCCATTAAATTGTCCTCAAAATGTCCAGAAATCACCATCTAAATGACTCGTACTCACAATCATTGATGCATTCGATTGTATCTTTTGTCAGTGACACCCCTGGATTCTGCAATCTTATGTAACTTTCCACAATGAACAGAATGATATATAACATGATAGGGTGACAATGCTACATGTATGAGTTTAGAGGGGGTGCATACATATGAAACACCCTGTATATAAGCAGAGCAATCTTCATTTCACAAGTTAAAGACTTTTTCAACATAATTTAAAACATAAATTTTCTCATTTGGGTGACTTTTCTTACATATATATTAAAATATTGATTAAATGCATTTTCTGACAAAGCAAGGTGATGTTTTCAGGCAGATATCGTTAGAGACTTGGCTAAGCCTCCGGTGACATCTATTATAAGGACATATAACTATAAGTGTGTAGCACTGATCAACCACTGAGCAAAAAAACAATTTATTTCCAAGTTCTTTATGAGAGCTTGAGTTTGACACAGTATTTTATTCAATATGTTTTTTTTACTGAACTTTGATTGAAGTGTTAACGCTGAATTTACAGAACCTCTCTCTAATAGAGGTGTGTTTGAAATGGAAGATTATATAGCTTCAACTAATAATTTGATGGAGAACAGAATGAGCACTGACTGAATCAGTGAGAACCACTAATGATCACAGCTCAGTTAATGTTCCTTTGATTGCCTTTTTTCATTTTTTCATTTAGGATGAAGTACTAAAAAGCTAAAGACTTTCCAATTCCTTTTGTATTAGAACTAGCCAATTTTATCGCTGGCACATCATTGAAAGATAACAAATGTGAATTATAATTTTATATTTCACATCTGTAAAATGATTTCTGGAAAGTGCTTCAGATCAACAAACCTTCGCAGTGCCCAGAAGTGAAATGTCAAAATTGTCCGTCTACATAATGAATACAGCTTAGGGCAAAATATGATTAGGAATTCAGTGATCTCCCCAGGATTTTTGCGACAGAGTGCTAAATCATTAATTTATGTTTTTGTCAAGTAGCATCAAAAATTATTTCATTATTTTAGAAGGGGGCATTGGGCAAACATATTTTTAACTGGATTTGGCACCAAATTTTCAGATTTGGGGCCCAAAATTCCAAAATTAGGGCTCAAATTCCTTTTGCGGAAATTTTTGCCCCCCCCAATCCTCTTGATTTGCAGGTCCACCCCTGTTTAATGCTTGAGAGATCTCTAGAATGAATTGAACAATGCTGTGTGTAGAAATTGCTACTGGTCTTGATAATAAGAAAAGCCACTAGTTTCAAATCCTAGGGAGAAATGAGATAGAATAAGCATACAATATGTGACATTTCAACCATAGGCAATCGCAGTACTGCCTTCACTCTTTAGACCAATTATTTCAATATTATGCCACACTCGCCTGAGATATAACATATGAATGTATTTTACTTGTAAAATTGTGGTGATTGAGGGTTATAGAATTACATTGTCTGTATTATTTATTGTAAAACAGCAAAGACATATTTTGTGTTCAAATCAATATCAGATGGAAACTTGGTCTCACATTTTTAGTTCAATCTAGCCAGTTAAGCAAATTTTACATATTTAAATATCAATGAAATTGTATATATTTACTACTGTAGAACAGGCAATTTCTTCACAACTATATTCAATCAACTATATATAGTACATAATCAAAAGTGCACACTAATTTCTTGGCATCGCTTTTACGTTGAGTGTATATTTATTAGAGGAGTGTGGATCCTTTGAAGAATCAAAGGGATTGATGATATCAGAAATAGATTTGAAATTAACTGCCAATTTAACTTTACAATTTTTAGTGTACAGTATTAGTATTATATACAAAAGTAGTGACAGTCTCTCATGGTTATGTACATGTACTATAGTCTTGGTAATGTTATGAGTGTTTAGTATTAGTAAACTTCACATTTACAAAGAAAATTGTCCTAATCTTTATTCAGTAAAAATGTCACAATTTTGAGGTCAACATGGAGTGACATGTAGAAACAGACAACTTTGTAAATGTGAACATTTACACAGCAGCATCAAAATTAAGAGGAGAACAAGGTCAATATATACACCCCCCTCCATAAGTTTAGCAACTGGAAGTTAGATTGTATGTTAAAGCCTGTTTGTGTTGGGTGATTTAAAAAATTCATCAAATTTGTCATGAATTTCAGAACTATTGTAATAAGGAAAAAATGAAGATTCAAGCATTCACCGGCTTTAACATGCTATCAAATGAAAAATCTAAATTGTTAAACTTAAGCAGGGGAGTGTATCCCCTCAACATTCTTAATTACATTTTGGTCAATGGGTTTACTGAATGTCCATACATTTTTTCAGAGTACATAATGTGTCAATTTTTCAAAATTAACTTGATTCCCAAATGGATAGCTAGGACCATCTGAATGATACATTGATTATGCTTTGGGGCAAAACTCAAATATTGACCTGGTCCTTTGTAAGAGACTTATACATTTTTTTCATAAAAACAGTGGTTCATAAAATCTATGTTGTGTATTTTTGTAATAAACTATAGTATAAATGTAGCAAAATGTATTTGTGGACTTTGATTAATGTTTATTTTGTTTGTATTTTTGAAAAGGTACAAAGAAGTTTTTGAGGAATGAAACTTGAAGAATGAATCAGAAAATGAAAAGGGGATTGAAGAATAGAAAAAGTGGAAGAATAGAAAATTGAAGAATAGAAAAATGGAAGAATAGAAAATTGAAGAATAGAAAATGGAAGAATAGAGAAATGAAGAATAGAGAATTGAAGAATAAAGAAATGGAGAATACATATTAGAACATGAAGAGTGAGAAGAGAGAGGGAATGTGAAAAGAAGATGATTTTGGTATACACAATTTTTATATTTTTCTTTTAACCTCATCGTCTTATGGCCCAGGTGAAAGGATTGCATCCCTGTTGTGTTAATATCTGCCTAATTTCCCAGAGCACATTACCAGAAGGATCCCAGTTGATTGTTTTGATGTTGAAATATTAGATATTCTTAAATCAAGTAACTAATGATAATGTGCCCCTTGTTATACATTTATAAATCTCACATTCAGAGCTTTTTTCAACTCATTGAACCCAAAAATACCATTACATGTACATGTTTATGTATTTTGATGAATACATACATGGCTCTGGCATCTTCAATTCAAAGGTGAGTAAGCCACTCTACATGCCTCAAACTAAAAGCCTTGGACTGCCTCTGATCTCATTCATTTGATACACCAGTCCCATTGGGATTTCATAAGTGAATAGTAGATGATCAGAGAAGTCCTTTGTAACATGATGAGTACTGTCAGTTGTCCCACTTAACTTCAACATTAACTTTTGCTTTGATATACATCCCAATTAATGATTCTGATGGTAGCATCTATACATTGAATCGTAAACATATTTCATTGGATTTGCACATGAATTACACCTTTGGTCTACCATTTTCAAATGTGTTATTATGAGAGCCATCACTATGTACTCTTCAATATACTACGGAGGTAATAAAGATACATAAACATAAACAACAGTCTAAAGGATAAATTCAAGTTAACGAAATATCAATCTTGGATTTCCTAGTGGAATGAGTTATTGTCTTATTGAGATCATGCCATAGGGTCAAGGTCAACAGTGAGGTCAAAGTTAAAATGAGGATAATTTAGTTATTATATTTATAAGCATCAGTTATTTTCGTGAATCTTAGTAGAAAATCAGAAAACATTGTTTTTGAGTAGCTGTCAGGTTATAATTCACTATAATGTTATATCTCCATTATTGCGATCATACAAAGTTAAAACGAGGATATCTATGTCATTAACTTTGGTAAACATCAATTATTTTTGCGAATGTCAGTAGAGGAACATGTGTTCATGCCCAGTGTTTTTTGGATATCTGTCAGGTTATAATTCACTGACCCTAGATCCTGTCAATACTAAAAGTAGGGCAAGTATTGAACCTTTTTATTTACTGATTACCTGTCAATTCCACTTGTTGAATTCTGGTGATATATTGTTTCACGTTGACCAAGCAAGCAGTCCATTGTTAAGTGCCATAACGTTCCTAACTAAAAAAGCAGAATGAAATTATAGTAGACAGATTAAAATAATTTGTCTGGCAAAGTAATTTGGCCCTTTAATGCATGTAGACTGTATGACGTCAATGATAGAAAGTTTTGGGGAATTAGTACAGCCAGTATATGAATATTTTTACTTAACTTCATAAAAATGCTATATTTGCCCAATGCAGTAAATATTTTTAATCAAATCTGAAATACGGACGGGGCACTTTCATCCCAAATCTTGAAAAATCTTGAATAATTTAATTCAATCAATTTTCTTTACGGAACTAATGTTTATTAAGACTTATAATTCTCAGTTCACCCTCACACATCTCATGCGATTGTAAACAAAAAAAGTAAATTGTGAAGTTACACAAGCAACTCGATTAAATTATCTGGTTATGGTCCTATTAAATGGTTCTTACGTCGTAGTATAAAATCCCATCACAAATTCACCGTAACTGCTATTCGCACTAATCATGCAATTCAATTGAATTGAAACACAAAAACTAGTATTTCGTATATTTTGTTATTCAGGATCCCTTTCGACTCTACAGTTCAAATAAGCAAAAATATTTTTAAAAGCATAAATATATTATATGGTAACTAAATTGAGTTTCTTTTACTTCGAACATTTTTCAAGTTGCCATTTCAATAAAACATACAATTCGGGTTTCTTGCTAAATACAATTAATTATTAGGTCTAGTGGAATTATCCCAGAAATAATCATCATCCACCAAACGTGGAGAACAGCAATGGGCTTATTAAGAAGAAAATATTCCAAAGCCCAAATTCTCCATTCCTAGAAGCTGTTGAAGTTTACGAAATGCAAATTTCTGTGGGGACAGTTAAACCATTACTGTATTATTTTCCAAGTGAAATATGTTCATTACGTTTACGATAGCTGATGTAGTGTTACCTTTTAGTGTTTATAAGACACGATCAGCGATGTGTATATACACTCTCTTTCTGAAATCTTCTCAGTTGTCACTTTCTTTGTAAAATAAATGGCATTGTGGTGGGGGTGGGCCTCTTTGTATGTCATGGAATGAAGAACGGTAAAGTGATTTGTATATGAAAATATTTACGTACTAAATCTCTATCTTCACAAATGATTGCACAAATAAATACTATACAAATTGAATTCTGTTGAGTGCAATACCTGTATAATATGTTTCTGAGGGTGTATTCCACGCAGCCCGAAGGGCAAGTGGAATGCATCCCTCATTAATATACTGATATAAACAGGTAAGATATGGTCTTTACTAATATTACTTGCAGCAATACATGGGAATTACTAATCAGCTGATTTACAAATGGCGAGTGAAATTAAGGATTTAATTGATAAGTGCAAGTGTTTTCAATTTTAAACAGGTCATTCATCAAAAAACCATGACGATCTATAATTAATTAATTTAAATAAATTTTTATGAGACATATAATGGTTAACTAATGCTAATGTCTGCTGTTCACATCCAGTCGCGGTCTATGACCATGACCAGTTACTGATCGGCAGTGAATCTCTTCAATGTTCTCCAAATTTTAACGGAAATTTGATAATTATATTGCCTAGAAGGTGTAAATATATCTCAAGTTGATGTTTAATGAAAAATCAACATTAATTTTCTGATAATTTACTCATTTGAAGCGGTACAATTAACATCAATTAACTAAGGATTTACATGTAAACTCAACTGCATTTGTTCTTTCGCGGGAAAGGTTTCTATCATTGATGTCACAGATTTTTAAGCTGCTCATTATAATATTCATGAGCCGACTTTATGGAAAGCCATCCCACACAATTCTAGAACATTATTTCGTAACACCATCTCTTAACTCATTATTTTACAACCTCAGGATTTTCAGTATCTCTATTGTACCACATACAGAATAATCTAAAAAGGAGTCCTAATTAGAATCGGTCACCTTTCAAAGTATAGCTTTATGTAGGCTGGTTTGCTCAAATTCATATAACACCGAGAGCTTTTCCTCTACTGCCATTTTTCCATGACATGAATGGTATTAAACTTTCTCTAATTATCCCACCGAACGAAGTTCGAGGGGGATATAGAGAAGCCGTCCGTTCGTTCGTCCGTGTGTCCGGGCGATAACTCCAATGCCAGTTGACGGATTTGGTTCAAATTATAGGCTTATGCCTTATGAGTGTAGAACCTCTGCTTGAGAGGGAATTTTCAATATGGCCGCTCAATTCAAAATGGCTGCCATTTTTCGTAAAAAATGTAATCGTTGATAACTCTAATACAAGTTGAAGGATTTGGTTCAAATTTTATATGCTGATGCCTAGGGACAAAGGAGTTTCGCTCAAAAAGAGATTTCAAGATGGCCGCTTAATTTCAAAATGGCGGCCATTTTTCGTATATATATGTGAAAATATGTAATCTTTGATTACTCAAATACCAGTGAAGGGATTTGGTTGAAATTTTATATGATTATGCTTAGGGACACAGTAGCTCTGTTAAAGAAATAATTTTCAAGATGGCGGCTGAATTTCAAGATGGCGGCCCATATTCGTAAAAACATAATCTTTGATAACTCATATACCATTGAACGGATTTGGTTCAAATTTTATATGCTGATGCCTAGGGACAAAGGAGTTTCGCACAAAAAGAGATTTTCAAGATGGCCGCTTAATTTCAAAATGGCGGCCATTTTTCGTAAAAATATGTAATCTTTGATAACTCAAATACCAGTGAACGGATTTGGTTCAAATTTTATATGACGATGCTTAGGGACACAGTAGCTATGTTCGACAAAACATTTTCAAGATGGCCGCTTAATTTCAAAATGGCGGCAATTTTTCGTAAAAAACGTAATCTTTGATAACTCAAATACCAGTGAACAGATTTGGTTGAAATTTTATATGATTATGCCTAGGGACACAGTAGCTCTGTTTAAGAAATACTTTCCAAGATGGCGGCTGAATTTCAAGATGGCGGCCCATATTCGTAAAAACGTAATCTTTGATAACTCATATACCAGTGAACGGATTTGGTTCAAATTTTATATGATGATGCCTAGTTCACAATGGTATAAACTAACTTTGTGCCAAATTTCATGCTTCTATCACAAAGTGCACAAACATTTCAACATTTACACTAGCTATAATAAGCATAATATGTTATGTTCGGTGGGATTTGCTACTCCGTGGAGTTGCTGTTTTTCTAGTTTCTTCAGGAAAGTTATCAATATTTTCTTTTTTTTATTATTTTGGAAACTAATTTAATATGACATGCCTTTGACACACACCCCCATTAAAATTGATTTGCACAATCACTATGTAATATGTGAAATGACCAAAACTAATTGGAAATAGAAAGGAGACGACAAATGCAGCAATGGCCTATTTTTAGTAATTTTATTCATTATCTCAATAGATGAAGCTTGAAAGGGATACAGAAAGCCCATCCATCCGTTTGTCAGTCTGTTGAACTTCATTTTTTGTCTTAGTGAAAACTCAAATGCCAGTTGATAGATTGGGCTCAAAAACTGTAATGTATCAAAAATCAAATACTTTTTATTAATTTGGCTCAAAATTTTAAATGCTAATACCTTAGGGACGAATAAAACCTCTGCTCTAGAACAAATTTTAAGATGACCAATGAATTCATTTTCATATGAAGTACCATTAAGGTCAGGGTGCATGATGGGAAATTTTCTGCATTTCTCAATTGAGTCACATGTTATTTTTCAAACAAGAATCACTCCTTCCCTTCATTGTCTATATCTTCCAGTTTTGCACAAAGGGTGCACTTATGTGCCTAGAAAAGACTTGTGAGAAGAATGTTTTGATAAAGTGTATAAAAAACAAGAAAATTCAGTGAAAAAATCAGAAAATTTTCAGAAATTTTTTTCACTGAATTTTCTCATTTTTGATACATTTTACAAAACAAACCTTCTCACAAGGCTTTTCTAGGCACAGAAGTGCACTCTTTGTGCAAACTTGGAAGATGTAGACAATGCGGGGAAGGAGTTATTCATGTTTGAAAAATAACATGTGACTCAATTGAGGAATGCAGAAAATTTCCCAACATGCACCCTGTCCTTAAGGATTGAAATTCTTAACAAAAAATCTTGAAAATTACAAGTTAGATGCCACCTTAGCACGAAAAAAGCTTTTTGAATAACTTCTCTTGCTTTACCACTTGGATATACCTGTGTACTTTACCATTATGTTCTTCCCTGCACAATCATTTATTTTGGATCAAAATCAATTTTAACTGGCATCACTACACCATATGAGCCCAAAAACTATGATACTATTTTTTAAAGATGTTGATATCAATGTCTATAGCGATGAATGCAGCAATTTAATTACTGTAATAAGTGTTTAGAGTAAGACAAAATTTAACAACCTCAAGTATTCCCTTCTTGTTTTTCATGAAAGGACCATTCTCGGTTTGTAGAATGAAGTTCATCGGCTTTTATCAATGTTTTGTCAATGTCGCTAACAATTTTGGTTTTCATCATTCTACACAGTGTAGATTGAAATGTGATCTTTTGAATATTTAAGATTTAATTATGGTAATATTTTTATTTCTTTCATATATTAGCGACCCCCCCCCCCCCTACCCCAATATATCACATGTTAAAGTCCCATTGACCATGTCATCTACGAAAATTGAGCTTTTTGTCATGAGACATGTTTAGAGATGGAACTAGCTATCTACTACATTTTCAAGTATAATCATGCATTACATGTATCTCTACTCTGTAAGATTTCAAATATTAATAGCCCTCTGACTTTAATAACGACGGTGGGGGTTCACTAATATTTGTTTTATGAAAGAAATAAAAATATTACCATAATTAAATCTTAAATATTCAAAAGATCACATTTCAATCTACACTATGTAAAAAATAAAAATTGTTTGCGATATTGATAACATCAAAATAAGCCGATGAACTTCATTCTCCAAACCGAGAATGATCCTTTCATGAATAGGATTTTAAAAAAATTGCCAGCATGCCAGGAAATCATGCAAGCTTGTTTTCTTCATTCTATTGGGAATAAGCATTTTGCTACATAAACTGTCAACAAAGAATGTTTATTCATAGAAATGATTGTTGTAACTTGCTAATGGACTACCTTTGTCCCTGATGAATTTGTGATTTAATTATTTTTTCACCTTATGTAAAAATCTAAGCTAAAAAAACGAAATCCAACGGGAATTAATCATAACATGAGTGACAATTAAAGTTGGGATTATGCTAATAAAGCAGATTCATGACAATCAATTTGAAGTGATTGATTTTCAAATAGTAGGAAGTTAATGATCTACTGTATGTGTTTTAAGAGAATGTGAATGTGTAAGAATTATGGTCCTCTCAGGATTGAGTTCTCCTCAAAGTATTCACTTGCAGGTTTAGTATTAGAATACGAAAATAGTAGTAAATCAGGTTTTTGAATGAAAGACAGTTTAGAGGGGACATTATTATTAGTGGGCCTCTTCCCTTGGGATATTGATAAAACACCTTCACTAATAGAAGATCTTTTCAAAATCTTTAGCTCAATCACCCTATGAGACAGTTACTCACTAGCTTGTTGAAAATGCCTCAGAATGAAAGCATTGCTCATGTAGCAAAGACCATCACTTTGAAAATCTTTTCATTCAACATCATACATTGGTTTGACAGCATTTCATGCAGCATTTAGCATCAGTTTGATATCTGTTCATGCAACATTGAACATCAGTTTGATATCTGTTCATGCAGCATTTAGCATCAGTTTGATATCTGTTCATGCAACATTGAACATTAGTTTGATATCTGTTCCTGCAGCATTTAACAACAGTCTGGTAGCTGTTCTCATTTAACATCAGTTTGATGGCTGTTCCTTCAGCGTTTAACATTAATTTGATATCTGTTCATGCAACATTGAACATCAGTTTGATATCTGTTCATGCAACATTGAACATCAGTTTGATATCTGTTCATCCAACATTGAACATTAGTTTGATATCTGTTCATGCAGCATTTAACAACAGTCTGATAGCTGTTCTCATTTAACATCAGTTTGATGGCTGTTCCTGCAACATCATGTCTCAGATTGATAGCTGTTAGAGCGGCAAATCCAATGCTATCTGATATTCTATAATCTTGATTGGTTTCCTACATTTTCTTCATGCAAATTCAACAAGTAAAGCAAATGACAATCCATCCTAAATACCGTGCAAAAGGGTGCAAAAGTAGATTTTAGACATTTAGCAAGACCCCCACTTACCATTTTTGATGATTTTTAGAATCATTTTGCTATGTTCCACTCCAGCCCACATGTCAAATTATTCCTTGTTGACCTGCTGTTCTTCAACAACAATCCCAGTAGTGGGACATTAAGACACTCTGACCAACATGTTTGAAGCTGAACTAAGAGAAAGTAATGAGCCAGGGACAACTCTCGCTGATACCGGATGTTCTACTTTGATGGGCGTTTCACATAGATGTGAGTATTTTTTACAGTTTCTTATGTCCCTACCACGAGTATGGGGACATTGTCTGGCTAAGTGCTTCTTTCTTACAGTATGTCCAAGCAAACCATTCAGGTATATATTTATGAGTCTCTGTGCATATTTTTCAGCGTTCTTTGGCAAAATAGTTTTTTTATCTTCATAGTATTTCCGATGGATTGATTAGTTCTTGATCTCTCATTTGACACCAAAAATGGCTCAGACTGGCCATTTGGTATACAATTGCGTAATTGTTTTTGTTATGTGATTCATCCATTCGAATGGTGTTCTCTGTGTGAGTAATTTTTTTTGCTTCAATATGAACACAAATCAAGCTTAATATGGTATTTTATTAATTGTGTGTGTAACAAGTTTCCATGATTTCTGTCCCTTTTTGGCTCACACAGTGAGCCTATGTGATCGACCAGGCGTCCGTCCGTCCATTGGACCGTCCGTCAACATTGGCCACACAAATTAAAACTGCTATTTGGATTGAGTCATATCCACATTCATTTTATGCATATCCATAATGCTATTTCCCAAGTTCGCCCGGTTTCCAAGAAATTGCTGATTTTGACGTCAAAAAGTCAAATTTCTGTAAATACTAGACACTTTGTTGAAGTAGAACTTTCAAATAACTTGTAGTAGTTGCTGTATATGCAACTTATGTCCTCTGAAGATTTCAAAGCTCTTGGAATTACAGTTTTTGGTATTTACTCTATAAAATTTGACAAAATTTTCAGGAAACTTTCTCATGTATTAAAGTCAATGGCACGTTTTGTGATTGACAAGTTTCTCAAAGTTTGCCTTATACTTGATCATTTCTTGCGATGAATTACATCATTGCTATAGATTTAAGCATTCCCTACATATTACTCTATATACAGTATGTGTATGTCAGCATCAAGTTTTTACCGTTTTTGAGAAATTGGACGTCAAAAACAGTAAAAATAAGTTATTTTTTAACTTGCTTCAATTTGACCAAATTGTTTTTTGAAAATTATCTTCAAGTTGCCAGGAGTTCAAATCTGACATTAGTTTTAGGATTTGACCTTTACTTGACCTTCAGTGACCTTCGAAAGGTCAAAAAAGTTGATTTTTCAAATTGATTTTTTGATGTAAATTTTGGTCAGCTTAATCACAAAAGACCTTACTTAGCTCTGAATAAGTAAAATTTTCAAGGTCAAAGGTCATCAAACTAGGTCACACAACTGTGCTATTTTCTCAAAGTTCGAGACTACAAATCTAAATCAATATTTTTGTTTGAAAGTCAGGATATACATTCCTCTGAAGGTTCCAAACTGTGTGAGCACAGGACCGTGTCCCTGGGTCCTTTATTTCTTCTAAAGTACACTTTTTAAGATGAAACAAAAAATTGATTCAAAACTTATGTCCCCAATTTGTCAGCAATGTTAAGTAAATCGTCCTCAAAATAAACTCACTCAAGTCAAGAGTTAATTATAAGGTTTGGTAATATTGACTAAGTCTCAGAAATAAACCATTTTGAATTGATGAAGAAAATTTATCATAGTTTTTGTATTTCGTTTCAGGTCAACTTAACCATCCAGTGCAATTATTTATTTTATTTGGAGATGTGCTTTCATACAAACATTCTGAAAGATTTAAACAATTAAGTTGTATATTGGGATATTCTTGGTGTTTTTAGTTTTCTGTCGATAATATTGTCTTCATGAAGTCTATGATTGCCTTGTTAATTTTTTTTCTAGGTAATGGATTGTGTAAATTGATATACAACTGAGGCATTGTCTTTCTTAAAATAATTATTCTGCCGTCGGGGAAACCAACTGAAATACGCGGCTACCGGTTCAAAATATTTCTGCTTGATTGCATACCATTCCAGCAAGTGTGGACACAATTTGCACACTTACTTGATATGCAAAATTAAAGTACTTCAGAGTAGTAGATCACAAATATCAAATATATGTTATACATATTGTTAATCTCAATAAAGTTCAGTAGGGATATAGTGAGTTTGTTCATCCATCGGTCTATCCCTCTGCTCGTCTGGAAGATATCTCGAATACTAGTCCACAAATCTTTTACTCGCAACATATATCTATTCCTCATTTATTCCTTGTTTTTCAGCCTGACCCCCAGTGACAGTGTTTTTTTTTGGGGGGGGGTGTTAAAAACAGGATTTTTTGTTAAAGTAGATTGCAAATATTGTATCATTTTTACAATAGACTATTTCTGATATACATAAAAAAAAAGTAGATGGCAGCACATAGATAGCCTGACCTTATTCAGAAAACTTGAAAATCTCTGAAAGTTGAATAAAGGTAAATAACTCTGCATGATAGAAAATTACACAAAGAATTCAAATATGCCATCATATAGAAGAAAATGTTAGTCTTTAATAGTTAAGATGCAGATCTCCTTCAACAAAATTTCAAGACTATTTTGAAAAGCCTCAATTCGGGTCTTGGAAAATTCAAAATGGCCACCTATTGTGGGATTAGGCAATGATTTCCTGATCTCGAAGTATGCCTATATTGAAGAGGGTATCTAAATTTGGAATTTATTTGAACTGAAATTCTGTTTGATGGATTATACACATTTTGAAATATTGTGCATTATTGTATGTGCGTAGGCAGTAGGTAATCTACCTGGCATTCATTTTCAGAATTGGGCAAAAGGCTGACACAGTGCCACTGCTCAAATCAATAAGACAAAAAAGCTTTTCATTAAACTTTTGACATTTTAGATTTCTTGTATGATAATATAAATTCCAATTACTAAGATTTGCTACCCATTACTTTTGCCAATGGAATTAATTTTTCTAGTTTACATTCAAGTCTTAGTATTTTTATATTTTTTCTACAAGGTGTAACTACCATTATCAACTTATCAGGTGACATATTCATGCCCCTTTCCTTGTTTCCTTTGGATTTGGGTTTCATCAGTTGATACTGTATAAGATATATATTATTTCTCATTAGTCATCTTGTCAATTTCAAAGTGCAATCAGTAATTTGACATTTTGAAGAGGTTGTCAATTTATTTGATAGGCTTGATAGAGTAAGATTAAATTGGTATCAAAGTCAGAGATTGATTTCCTTCAGGCGTTTCAAGTACATGTATACGATCATATACAGTTTCTTTTCGTTTTTGTCTGTTAATAATGCAGATGTTTATATGTGGACTAATTTATTTATCTCACTTGAGATGCTTTCACCTACATCCCTAACCATCAGTTAATCTATGGAACATTCATTGCATTATTATCAGTTTTAGAAAAATAGAGACAGTATTGTGACCTTAATATGTCATTGGTACGACATCAGAAAGTCAATTAAATATAGATATATAGAGGTTATTTAAGGTACAATATGATTTTTATTCCAAGGGAAAATATGATATTGGCCAAGGAAAATATCGTATTTTATTAATAGGTTTCAAATAAAAAAAATAAAATAAAAATGTCAAGAGAAAAGGTCCCTCGGAATAATTCTGGTATGGGATCTGATACAGTATTGGATCTGATGCAGGATTTTTGGCTGATACAGGATTTACCAAATATCAATTCTATCCCCTGTTTATTTCCTAGGGAAAACATGTTATTATGGAAAAAATAAATGCCAATTTGTCAAAACATCTACATGTTTTATCACATAGCTATATACGCACTGTTGATTTGCTCATTATATGTTTTTCACCATGGCTTAAAGACCTCTGGATTTTCTGGCTATTCTCGAAATAAATGAGCTGAAAATTGACCCCACTGTCTCATAGTCTCAAGAATGATATTTTTGCTTTAAATTTCAAAATATGCTATGGTATGTATTTTTCTAGCTGCACCCATGCCATTCCTCTTGGAATTTTTGCTTTAGCTGTGAGTCACTCAAAGGAAATATGATCACTCGGTGTTAAATTATCAAAAGAATTATTTCAATGAGGTTCAGCTTTCGGCCAGCAATAATGATGTGATATTAAGTGTCATTAGTGATTTTAACAATGACACATGTAGGTGTTTTGTGATAACCAATGCTAAAATAACTATTTTGGAAATCTATGAAACATGAGAAGATGTTTTTTATTTTTTTAATTTGTATCACACTTTAAAATCTGATTTGTCAACATATTTTTCTTTGAGCCTAACAGCGGCGTAACCAGGATTTTGATAGCAGGTACGCAAGGCCGAAGCCTAGCAAAACTAGGAGGTTCGGGACATGCCCCACCCCCTGTTTTTCTGATTTTAGACCTAACCCACATATCACACCAGACTAGTGCTCAATCGTTCTATCCAGTCCTATAAAAAAGCCTGAATCTGGCTGTGGTCTTGGAAATATGGTTCTTCGTTCATTAACAGTCTTCAATATGTTCATCTCATTCGCAGTACGTTCAGGTCGCACCATGTCATTGTGTACACGTTCTGCAATTGATATCTGATTGCACAACGTCGTAAACGCGTCCCTAGTAGGGTGTGGCAATTACATTCCTAGTCTAATATGTCATCTCGTTTAAAGAATGTTCATTATGTTTGCATACATTTAAAACCAGTTTGGCAACGTTTTTAAGAACGTAATGGCAACTCCTTTGATGTGATAGCTATATTTTTGCAAACTTGTTCATATGCAGTCTTTATACATCCTTAATCAGTTTAAACCCGTTTGCAATTAGTTCTACCTCATTCTCAATACGTCTTCGGACAATTCAACTCTTCTAAAAACGTCCCTAGGATCGAAGTAGGCCTACATACAACAGTTCCGTTCGTAGTATGTCCAACTAATCTTAAGTACGTTGTCATCCGTTCTATTTGCAGTATGTGACGACAATCAGAAAATTCTTAGCATGCTCTAAGTTCTTAGTGTGATTGTATGGTTAAATGGTGCTTTCTGAGCGATACCAGACTGTGAAATAGGGCACTATTGTATTATATTGCACTTTTGTGATGCAACCAGAATGGAAAAATGGTACTTGTCTGGAGTCTTGAAGAGAGGTAGTCCAGGATAAAGATCATGAAACAAAATATTTTGCTTTATTTTTTTATTTTTTACCACAATTTTTTATTCTGCTCCATCATTTGAGGTATGTAATTGCATACCCTCGCGTATGCCTGATTACACGCCTGCCTAACTTTGCAGACATTTATAAATCAACAGTCTAAAATCAATCTCAATTTTGTATGTCAGAATTGTATAATTTGGTATATTCCATTTCAAATCTTTTAGATGATTCATCACGTCATTGTCTTCTAACAAACAATGACTCTTTAATAGCATTCCTCCCAAGGTGAAGCAACAGATCTAATGAGCTTTGACTCAGTTGCTAATCTTCAAGACAATTAGATAGAAATAATCACCAAAATGCAATATCTAAAAATCTTATTTCCTAAAAGGCTTTAGAGTACCTGTCGTGATCTACTAAAATTACAAGTACAACATTTCATTTGATGAGTTGAGATTGAATAAATGTTATATCCAAATGACTTAAATGCTTTGACAAGTGAGTTGAAATAATACCACTGTTTTTTATCACACTTAACAATACAAGTGCTTTGTTCATTGTCTTAAAGGTTCCATGGAATAGAAATCATGTGACCACATTTGATGACAGCAATAAGGAAGAATTATGCTCACGAAACGTTTCACATTGCACTGGGATAATGCACCATCTCACAATTCTATTCTCACGGTACAAACTATTGAAGCACTGGGTTTACATTTGTTAGGTCATGTACTATACTCTCCTGACTTGGCCCCCAGCGATTTTTACCTTCATGGTGAGCTGAAGAGGGAGTTGAGGGGTGTCAGTTTCTCATGGGAAGACGTGAAAAAAAGAAAAGAGTAGAAGACATATTCAACTATATGTTGAAAAGGACATTATGTAGTTATGAAATATAAAATAATATGACATGTCATTTCAAATGTGATTTGAAATACAGGGTGTCAAATAAGTCCCGTCCCCCCTCTACAGCCAAAACCAAGATATTTGGTACCAAGTGTGATATATCATTGGAAAGGTCTTCCAAAGTTACGTTGATTGGCATATATCTGACACATGTCAATCAATCTCAGACATTTTTACATTGTATCAATTGAGGTGACCATATGCTTAGAAACATGGCAATTTGGCGTATTTGGCACGATTTTAAGAATCGTGTATAAGAAAGGTCATGGGACCAAAATATGACTAAATATGTTTATGGCGATGAATTTAACCTATTTCTGGATAGGGGTAGATGTGTAGAAAATAGAGGTGCAAGGAAAGTGGTGAAAACCTTTTTGTAACAAGTGGAATGTGAAAAAGATTAACTTTTTGATGTATTTCTGAGGTCATATCCTTGTCAAAAATATAGTTGCATTGAAAATGAAGATGGGATTTTGAATCTTTCTAAGGCCAGTCAAATGTTTGATTTACAAGTTTGAAAAATGCTTCATTGTAAGGTCTGAAATAGTCATGTAGAGTCTTAACAGTTTTAGGATTAAGTTTTGGATGTGTTCGCCCCTTCGTTCCTCCCATACATTTCACTCTTCCCACTATAGGCTTTAAACAATAAAAAGTACCATTTCTTAACTTCTGTTTATGGGCCACAAATCTGTCTTCAGTATAATAAAATGGCACTTTCAGAAATGTTTCTATTTTCTTAAATGCCTTCCAAGGCGTTTCAGTTAATTCCTTTGAATCAACCAAATGGATTTGTTCAATAGGGAACAATTTCAGCCATCTTCGAAAATGTTCAACATAACGACTTGATGCAATTGCTGCCGCTGCAGTTCTGTTATTTTTAAGCCATTGATAAAAGTCTGGGCAAGGTAATTTTGTATTTGGATTCTTTTCATTGTATTTTATCCGTATTGCAAAGTACTGCAGGTATTCACTCACCAGTCTCTCAACAGGTTCTCTTATGAGAAAAATCAACTTCATATGTCTGTCATAGTTATAAATTCTCTCTGCACATTTTTTATTGGAGTAGCACCCAGTTTCCCTATGAAGTATAACTTTGCTTAAGTCCCTGTCACACTTCTCATATGTTTTCCTCTCCAGTTCTTCCTGGTTACCATTGCCATATATGAAGTATGGGGACTGGCTCACACACAGATGTGGGGATCCTTTGTTCAACATACTTGTTACTGTGGCTGTTCCACCTTTCTTTACTCCAGCTATTATTCCTTGAATATGTACCGACTTACATGGTAAACAGGGGTCATGTGGACTCGTATTATTGGCTATTAAGTCACTGGTTGGGTCCAGGTCATCAGTGTTACTATCAGCGTATGATTCATCATTGAAATCCATATTGTCTTCATTATACTCTGTTGTGTCATCTCTCTCTACTGAATTTTCATCACTTTGTACATGTACTGATGTTTGCATTTTTTGGTCTGTGAGATGTTTTGTACTTGACAATGTATTTTCTGGTTTAGAAGATTTCAATATTTTATTGTCATTGTTATCAATAGGATAGGCTTGATTGAGATCTGTATTTACATGTGATTCGCTTGCAGATCCAGACGTTATTTCTGTTATATTTGTCATTTTGATTTTCATTGTTTTTCGGCTGTAGTAAAATGTTGCCAACAAACAAAATGTCACCATAACTACCAACAATGGAAGATTGGTAGATGTGAGCTTCATAATGATAAATTAGTTACTCATCACTTTGTTATTAATTACAGTAATTAGTATTATTTCCAATAATTCCTAAATGTCTCTTCAAGAATTGAAAAAAAGTTTACAGTTTTTAATTTTTTGTTCTGAATGTTATTGTTTGTGGATTTCCCATTTTCACACTCAGTTGTAAATTATACAGGGCAATCAGTTATTTTATAAATTTCACTAATTGACCATTGATTGTTTAATTAAAGCTGACACAATCAGTTGTTCATGCCATGCAAAAAAGTGCATTGATAGGTATTAGATATTTATCTAATCTATTTATTGGAAAGCACACAATAATGATATATTGGTATCTGAATTAGTTCCAGATCTCGATATTATTCAGTTTCTGTTCAGGACTTCAGTATTACAATGGTTGAAGTCAATATGTATTAATATTGGGAAAATAGAGCCAAGTTTTAAGGTGAATTCATTAGTGACACAGGTTCTAAGGTTCCAGTACACCATTAGAAATGTGAGTGTCAGCTTTTAGGATATGATCTACTGCTATTGGAAATTCAAAGTTGTCTAATTAACCATGTCATCACCAGGGCTTTAATTTAATGAATTGCAATTTAATTTTAATTAAAACATTATCGTTTGAAGAATTATAAAAACAATAATTTCAAGCATAAGTATGAAAGAGCTTATTATAAAATAATTAAGTGTCAAACTTAATTTATCTAAAAATCATGAGAAAACAACAAATCTGTATTCTCAAATTATTCCTTATTTTGAGTTTTAGGTCATTGCCACAATTCTACTCAGTCTGATTTAATGTCCAACTGCCAAAAAGCCAAAAATATGATGTCCAGGAATATGTTGTCCAATGCATGATATAAGTAAGCAAACCCTCTGTTCTTTAAGGCTTTTTGATGGATGTTCAGTTTTAGTATCCTGTAAGGATGATGTAAGGATCCCGTATTGAGATGAATACGATAATAGTACTATAAGAAGCATAAAAAACATCCTCATGAAAACATGAAGCATAAATCAGAAGATAGATATTATTTGAATAATTATTTTTATCTTAATTGGTATTAAATTTTCTTTGAGAGAAAGATTAGAACCTGAGAATAATATCAAGCATAGATATATATTGATTCAGCACATCCTGATAGTTTGGTGTATCGTAGTTGTTCATGTATTAAAAGACATGCCAAAGAAGTGCATGAGTATGGTATTTTATGACAAGAAATGAAACAAGGCAACTTTTATAAGTAAACCCAGGAAACCCAGAGACATGTATGAACATTAAACCAAGAGTTATCTTACAGGGCTTGGAATATTCATGAATTCTTTGACATTTTTAACAGGGAATTGATTGACAAATTTAGGGATTAAATGTTGATAGTCCTCAATTGCTCAAGTAATTACCGGCATAGACTACTTTATACATTAGACATGCTTCTTTTAACTTTATTCACAATATCATGATTTCTTTCCCAATCTAGTAGTGTTACAAGTAAGTTGTAATCACCATTTGAAGACATAGCTAACAATAATGGACAAGTCAGATAGGTGCCACATCGTGACAGGGGAGGGGGGAGTGCTAACGGTTATTTTTAGATGATTAAAAATCTATAAAAAATATAGAGTTTCTAAACACTCAAGAAATGCTACACTAGAAATCCTAGATTGTTGTAAGTTATAAATGCAACTACATTTTAAAAAGTTGTACTAAATATTACAAATCGAAATGTTACACAAGACCATAAAAATTATTTTCACTAAATAAACCCTTCTAGCTTTGATTTATATCGTATGTCTGGTCAATATATTTTGATCTTTGGATTTCTCTTCACACTTTAAGTTTGATGAGAACACCAATTGAAATAATTTGTTTACTTGTTGATTCTATTTTTATCCTACATTTTATAAAATTTTATAAAACTTTTATCTTATTGTAGGCTATTGTATGGAATGTCTGTCTGGTAAGTTAAGCTTTTTAAGCATTCATTCCTTATATCACATTTACAAAGACAAAGACCTGCATGAAGAATACTAATAGTGAAGCCCTGTAATGCTCTAGCAAAATTAAATTGTTCATACCAGGTTGACCAGTATCATAATGTTATAGTCCCAGGAGATGACTATATCACTCCCATTAATGTAAACAGGTTACTTGAGATTTAATAGAACATGAATTAAATTACCATTGGAAACAGGCTATTAGCTTGAATTTCACATAGACGGTTTTATAAGGAGCAAAATAAGTGACAAAAATGGCATTGTGACAAAATGGCATTGTGTTTGGTTTAAGGACAATGGACACTAAATAATGAACAATATTTCGTAGTGCCTACGCAATTCCATTTTGGCTCGATTGACAGGGAATCAATTGGAATTTTTACTTTTACAACTTTTGATGTTCCAAAATTGTGGAAATTCAAACTATTTGAAATACCAAGTCTTTTTAGATTGAAATTCTTACATTTGCTTTAATGTGTAAAAAATAATTTTCAGATTTAAAAATTAGAAATAATAGATGGATGCTAGTATTTTCAAGGGACCTTTTTATTGCTTTTGCTGCTCTATACAGATATACTGAGTAAGATATAGTATCCACTTGCATATGCTTTAAATAAAGACAAAATTGACATTTAGTATCACAACGTTTTTATTGTTTTAATAAAGTGAGGTACTAAGTGAGAAATAGCCAAAAATAAGCTAATAATCTCTTATAATGGCGCAAATAACTAAAATGAATATTTATGAGTTTATCTATTCTGTGTTATTCTTGATAAAACCAATGCAAGTGAACAGGCATATAAAGTAATTATATATACTAAAGCTCTATGAATAGGTCTTTTTTATTAAAATGTATGCAATTGTAAGTTTATTATAGGGTTTTCAAAAGATTTGTTGTTTGCTCATCATTGTTGTCTTCTAATTGAAAAAAAAGATTGGCTAGAAGTTTATTAATGAACTTAGTATTGTGATTTGTTATTAGCATTCAAAGGAGTTATCACTCTCCAATTCTCCTGGATGAACGAAGCAAAAACATCTACGTTTTTCAAATCAGCCGTTATCAGAGGATTCATTCTGTGTTTTCATTTAATCATTGCTGAAGACATTTTGTTGTAGTCTCCCAAATCTTTTTGTGTATGGCATTCAGCATTTGGTATTTGGTGGTCTTTGCTCAGTGGTTGGTGTTTGTAACAAATGGTAGGTGGTAATATTTGCATGTTTATGCCTTGTACTATATTTTTGGGGAATGGTCTATGAGAAAGTTCATGTAACACCATAAATAGTATGATTTACAGCCTGGAAATTGTGGGTCTGCTATAAACACACTCAATCAGGTAAATTAAAAAAGTGGTCCTCTTTTAAAGATGCACTATACCATGCATAGGCTTCTCAACCAGACAATCAATGATGTCCTATTGTTATTGCTCATATAATATCTCACAAACCATGAATATATCTTGAGAATAACTTTTGGGTATATTATTGCTGAAATATTGAAATAATCAACAGAACAACCAACCTCCAGAATTAAACACAATCGATTCCTCGGAGGGGTCTTGATTGTGCTATGGCATAGAGCCTCTTTAACCAAAACAGCCGCTTAAAGGTTTTTGGATGTCGTCAGGCACAAATGAAAATCTACAGCTTCCTAAGTTAAATTTGTTCATATCATTGCCAATATTTATATTGACATATTTATCCATTAAATCATACAAGTTGTCAGCACTGCTTGTTCTAACTTCATCATTTCTTGTCAGATTTGAAATGCAAGTGATCTCTCGGGTCTGCAATTAATTACTCTAATTTCATTTTGACTTTCAAACTTATTGTTTTCCCATGATGGTAATATGATATTACCTAGTACCCTGTAGACTTTTAGTGTTTTACTTTGTGGGCTTTATCTCATTAGGCCTAATGGAGTTCAAAAACAGTTTAGTAGAGTTACTCATATTTATTGAATAAGGGCACTCAATTTGTGCACTGTACTTGATCAGACCAAGTATGATTTTATAAAGGCATGTATAACTTGTATATCTATCATTTTAATTAAAGTAAACATGACCCATGCATTTCATAAATATGTTCACATTTTAACCAGATCGTTCCAATACAGAATTTCTCGAGCAGAATATATCCTGTATTGCACTTCAAATCATTCAATAACTTATAGTATTGTTTAGTAGGCTAGACTCCTGATACCTGATATTTATTCCACGTTGGGTACTTTGAAGGCTCATGGTTTTATGATGTTCACCATCTTTGGTTGAAAGAAAGAAAGCAATCTTCTAAAATATGATCTAGTACGATTTTGTTGATAGTCTTTCGTCTATTTTATCTATTTTCAGCCAGATAGCACATACAGTTTTTAGTGGACATCCTTCAGAATTTCATTCGTTTTTGATGGAATTTAGTGTTTTAGATCTTCTACGGTCTGTCATGTTGATGTCATATGACTATACTGTACTGGACAAAATTAGAAAACAAAGAATTCCAAGGTGGGTTAAGTTAAACTGCCGGACAATACGTCTTTTCAATACAAAAATAAAGGGATCTGTGAAATATGCTCTGGTTTTGATCATATTGTACGTCATTAACCAAATTACACAGATTTAGCAATGATATAATTGTATGTATCAGTTTTATGTCCAGCATGTACAATTAATTCCCAGATATGCAATCATGTAGTATATAGTAGTCATCATATAATGATTATAATAATAGTAATTATTTTTATTTGATATAGTACGAATGATAATAACTTCAGATAATAATAACTGTATATAACTAACCACCTGTTGGATTGAAATTCAACTGGATCAACCTCACACCTAGACTACACCGTCGGCACCCTAACAACGCAGTCAAGTTACAAATGGTGAACATAAATGTCGCTTTACCTCTAGTTCATTAATATCTTGGTTCTCATATCATAGGACCTAATTGTTACTAATTCTGTGCATGTATGAAGCTCTTTTGATGGTGATTAGTTCAACTGTCTTGGAGTAAGTGTCCAAGGCATCATGTTTTACAACTGACTATAT